AAAAAAAGTCATTTAGGCAGTGTGCCTGAGGACTCAGGCAGTTGGCATAAAAGCCGAGTTTTAGACCTAAAGGGAGGACTAAGGGTATTTAGGAAAACTCAAATAATTTCAACAGCCTCAGAATATTACTTTTTGAGTTATGTAAAAAAAATTGCCTCCTCCCCCGCAGGAATAGAGTTAAAATGTTTATACAAAACAGTTTGCTTAACTCCATAGAATCTGAGTAAAAAAAAAACATAAAATACAAAATATTATTTTTCCTCAAGCTGGTATACGGTGATAAACAGACAACTCTCTACTGTAACTTGTAAAAAGAATTTCTAATCTTTAATTGTTGTGACCGATATTTTTGTTTCTGGTCACCATAAACTATTTATACTATCTTCAGAAAAAAATGTTTTTTTTGGAATTAAAATATCGTCTTTGACTTGTAAAATGTTCCCTCCGTCCAATGATGTGTATTCACCATAAATAAAGTGAAACTACCACTTCACTTATATCCATACCAATAAAATACAGTGCGGGGGAGGGGCCGGGTAGAAAATACAAAGATAGATAGATAGATAGATAGATAGATAGATAGATAGATAGATAGATAGATAGATAGATAGATAGATATATAGACAGACAGAAAAATAGAAAGATTTAGGTGTCCTATGAGTCCTGTAAATCAGCAATATATAATATGTAATATCCTCCTAGCGCTGGCCAAATTTTGGAATATATATCGAGTAAAATATATCGAGTAAAATATATTGAGTAAAATAAAATATATCGAGTAAAATATATCGAGTAAAAAAATGGAATGCGAATTAAAGAAGAAGAATTACAAAAAGACTGGAATCAAAAGGGGTAAAAACGGAAAATTTAGGAAAAGACGATGATAAGATAGTTCCAAAATAATCAATCATATAAAACAAAAAATGATGTTTAGACAACAAAAAAATCAAAAAAGAAGAAAAAAACAAGGAAAATGATTGATTAAATATTATTTCTGATTGTGTAAACATTGAGAGACCAGATAGTTTCAAAATAATGTCATAGAGACGTTAGAGTTTGTACGAAATTTTATAACTTTGATTAGATATTTAGAATCGCCTGGCTATTATTCCAATATCATCTAACCCCCTAACCCCCCTTCCCCCTTCCTTAGAAAGTGAAATGTTTTTTTGCGTTGTTACAAAAAACTAGTTTTCTATAATTGCAAACATGTTTAGCAAAATTGTATAAACTCATAAAAAATAGTTGCTTGAATAGTTGGAAGTTTGACACGTGTTCACAAGTATTTAAAAAGTCCAGAAAATAATTCAGAAAACATGTTTTAATATCAGTGATCAATTCTGTCAATTTTCTTCTTTGTATTTGTTGCATAAATACAAAAAGTACGGAAATTATCAATCTTTTCATCTTTTAAAAGGACACACACAGAACGGTTTAAAATAAGCTCATTTTAAAATTACATAAAATGAATAGTCTTCTTTAAAAAGGGAAAAAATATATTACAAAAAATTTATTATTGTAATAAATATCCCCGAGTACTATATCAGGGAAACCTGATCCCTTATCTATATTCCTTCTAATAACTAATATCATCATTTTATGCATACCTTGTAACCAAATAAAAGATTAACTTTATCGTTTATGAACCTTGTAAATATATAAGTCCTGGTTGGGTGCCCGCTACGCCGGTCACCCTATTTGACCTGTAACCTTATGCTTCAATAAATAAATAGTTAAGTGTAAAACTTCGCGTTGAATGGACCTGGCTTAAACCCTAGGTAGAGAAGATAGAAATACAGTGCGTTTTTTGTAGTTAAGACTAATTCGGAAAGACTGGCATTTTGTGATATTATTTTCAAATTTGATTGCTATTCAATTATATATTCTTATTTGAACTCCCAGTGGGGTATATACTTTATGCTATAGTAGTGTGCAAAATGTTGAAGTAAGGTATATAGTAGTGTGCAAAATGTTGAAGAAAGGTATATAGTAGTGTGCAAAATGTTGAAGTAAGGTATATAGTAGTGTGCAAAATGTTGAAGTAAGGTAGATAGTAGTGTGCAAAAAAGGTATATAGTAGTGTGCAAAATGTTGAAGTAAGGTAGATAGTAGTGTGCAAAATGTTGAAGTGAGGTATATAGCAGTGTGCAAAATGTTGAAGTAAGGTATATAGTAGTGTGCAAAATGTTGAAGAAAGACATCAAAACATAGAATTGCATATTGACATAAATATTGCTTTTATAAATTTGCCACAGATTTGAACAGTAGGGATGCTCAATTATATCTTTTGACATTGACGAAATAATTTTTTGTTAAATTTTCACTATCTTCAAATTTTCATTACATTTTAAAATATAAAAATTAGCATTTTTCTTTGAAACAATTTTGTCGAAAAAGTCGATGAAAGCCTAGTTTGCACGTGTTTTCAGAAAACTTGGATAATTTCGAATATTTTATATTTACTTGAGGCAATGATTGCTCCCAAGCAGGAAATATTGGAAAATTCAGAAATCCCACGAAAAGTTAGAGTTAGGGGGGGCATTTAGGGCTTAGGGGCCCCGAGCACTATAGTTTCAGTAGAAGTAAATATTTCCATTTACTGATAGCGCCGATTTAAGGATTCATAACCTAATTGGATAATGAGATAGGTAGAACGATAGATGTTACCGCCATACTATTTCTATTGGTTCAAAATAAACAACAAACATATGACTGACCTTTGATTAGATCAGGCGCTATTGGACTCGGCATACAGGAGCGCTAGATCATCTATTTACGCTAACTCAAATAGTATTATTACAATTCACATAAATAGTTAACTTCGCAAAATACCATAATTAAGAACATTTTATTTTAGTTTCAAACTTTAAACGATGTTCTAAAACACAGTTTTACCAACGAGCTTTTAAAAGAAAGAAAAATTTGGAATCCTGATATACAAATTTCAGCCAAGATGTTGTGTTTCGTATCCATAGGATCTTTAAATATCCCTGAATACAGATGTCTGCTGATTGGTCGTGTACAGTACTTGTAAACAATAAAACATGCTATGGAAAATATCGCATATTTTAGCTGATAATCGATCTCTGTAACTCTCTTATTTCTGGCTGTGGCGTACATGAAAATTCAAAACAGTAATACTGCATAAAATATACATCTGCCTTCTGTTGAGATTGAAGAGAATCTAAAAAATATATTTTTATTTTAATCAAGAATCATTTAATTTTTATTAAAGGATCCAAAATTATAAAAATAAACTTATAGAAACATAGAAATGATTATAGATAAATAGATTAATAGACAAATACTGAGAATAAATATAATAAATATAATGAATATATTGAATTAAATGAATAGATGATAAGCAGGTAAATAAGAGGATGAATAGACGAATATATTGATAAGGTAAATATATGAATATATAAATAGATTAATACATTAATAGATAAATAGATGAATAGACGAATAGATGAATAGATGAAAAGATGAAAGGATGAATAGATAAATAGATGAAAAATGAATAGATGAATGAAAATAAATAAATGAAAGATGAATAGATGATTACTTGAATTGATGAATAAATAAATATATGAAAGATGAATGGGTGACTGGATAAATATATGAATAAATAAATAGATGAATAGATAAATATATGGAAGATAAATAGATGAATAGTTGAATACATATAAGAAAAATGAATAAATGAAATAATACATTTTCCCAATATTTCCCTAATAGAATAAATTGGACTAATCTGATGGATATTATTGGAAACAAATATTAAACAATTTTAAGAATAAATGTTCTCCATTTAAAATCCCCCTACTCCACTCCCCCACCCTTCACTAAGGTTTATGAAGGATCAAAATTTCAAATATTTGTCTCCATCAAAATTTGATCTTCATAAAATTTTTGAAAATTTTAAAAAACTCCGAAATTTTTTGCCCTTTACTGCCTACCGCTCCCTTCACTACCTTTCCCTCCCTTTACTACCTACCCCTCCCTTAACTACCTCCCCCTCCCTTCACTACCTTCCCCCCTTCCATATTTTCGAAATTTTTTTCATTATTTTGACTACATACTCGAATAGCCATTTGAAATTGATTCAACATATCCTTGAGGCTAACTTTTTCCTTTTATCTTCTCTGAAACCCTGGGGGTCAAAAGGAAGGGGGAGGGTACTTAAAACAAGGGGCCTAGGTTTGAGAGAAGGGGGGGGTTAGGGGGGCTTAATCGTATATCCTCCTTCTGTTACCCTTTCAGCGGCCTCAGGATGTTTTTTATATCTTTGTTTCTTTGAAGTTATATGAATTCAAACCTTTTTCCTAAACTCCCCCCACCCCGTCTCATCTTTTTTATATCCCCCTTTCCTTCCCCCCTCCCCCCGTATTTTGTAGAATGTATTGGTATATCTCGAAGTCAACATGAAAGGATTGAAATGAAGAGACAAGTGTCTACAAACTGCGGTTTATACTAGGGGAATTTTATCCCCCCCCCTTCCACACCCACGCCTTGAATCCCCCCCCCTCCATTGGTCGGTAGTAGGAGGGGGGGGGGGAGTAATCTTCTTTTCCTTCACGGGGATTTAAAAAGAATTCTAGTTTAATACTTTACATTTTAAACTTTGTTAACAACGCCAATCTTTAGAAAACAAACTTCTATATAAAGTTAGGGTAATTAATTACCATCCCAACATTATGAAGTAATTAGCATTGATTTAAAATTTTCCATCCCTCCTTTCTGCTGCAAACTTTAATCTTTCAACATAATCATATGGAAAAATTATGCATGAAGGGTTAAAAAAATACATGAGGGAAAATTATCAAAAAAGTTTTTAAAACAGTCAAAGACATCAAATAATGAGGTTTAAAAAGCCGTTTTAATTTTTGTTTGATTTTGTATGTATCCCTGTATTCTTGATTTTAATATAATCTTATAAAACCGGATTCTTTTGTTAAGTTGTCTGCATTTGAATCAAGATTGGACCCAAGTAAGTTAGATTTTAAATACTTAGGTCAAAGTCTTAAATAAACCAAGCTTAAATAGTCTTAAACAAGTATGAGTTTCTAACTTGACATAGTTGAGATAGGAAAATGTGGTACATTTTTCAGGCTTTCTAATTTTTGAGAAATTTTAGACCGCTTACTTTAATAATTAAGATGGTAAGTATCGCTTTAAAAATATTCAAAAAGTATATCATATAAATATTAAACAAAATTTCTTTTGAAAAATATTTATTTAACCTATATTTATAAATACATTTTACATAATCATAGCAAATCTCCCATCTATATATAAATTTGGCTTGTCTGTCTGGGTGTCTGTTTGTTTGTTTGTATCCAATAAACGTCAAAACGGCTGAACCGATCGGGCCCAAATTTTTTGTTGGACATCACGTGACCACAGGGAAGGTTTATGAAGGATCAAAATTTCAAATATTTGTCTCCATCAAAATTTGATCTTCATAAAATTTTTGAAAATTTTAAAAAACTCCGAAATTTTTTGTGAAATCCGCGAATTATTTTTGTTTTGTTTTACAATGTACACAAAGAGAACATGTTCACAATTAATTTAGAAGATGGGCGCGAAGCGCCCTCTAAGGCTAGTAAGAATACATAGCAAGAGTGCATGAAATTTCGTCTTGAAATTTGTATAAAAATTTATTTCATCTGTTATGCTTCATCATTGGTCTGCACAAAATGAAACCTGCTGTGATGTTCGCAGCTTCAAAGGGTTTGAATACGATTTATAAAAATATATTCAAACATCTTTGTAGAGTCATAAGTTTTTTAATAATTCTTAAGAAACTGCTTAAAAGAAACTACTTTTAATTTAAGGTACATTAATAGCCCTGAACTATGCAGAACAGCAATAGATATAATAAACTCGTTTTTCCCCGGCATTTAATCTTAAATATGTTGAGAATACAACATTATAAAAAACTATGCTGTATGTATTCATACATGTCAACTTTGACACCGTTTTAAATCAATTTCTCGAGACAGTGACATCAGATAGAACTAAATATTAGTGCAATCAACTTCTAAAATGTTTAGGCGATACCCTCTCATTTTACCTTAACAGTCCCTTTAATCAGCAGATTTTGTACAGAAACATAACCATTCTTCACTGTTTGGTTCTCCAAAATAGATAATATCATTATTTTTATTATTATTATATAGATAATATCATTATTTTTTTAGGCGTAAACTGACTAATGATTAGATTGGAAACGTTGAAAAATGGACCTTTTTATAAAAATGGCCTGGATCTTCATGACCTTGACAACAGCAGGTAAATAAAAAACCATTGTCGAATTTTTAACCATGAAGTTCCTTTTTCAGGTGCTACACCCTTTGAAGACACGGCATTCCATTTAGCAAAATCATTGGTTCTGAAACCAAATAGTATTTTACAAGGTCTTGCTTTGCACCGAGTCAAGCGAACCCCTGACTATGAAGAGTTTGATTTTAAAAATCTGGGAATTAATGTGAAACTAAAAGATGTTAACACAAATACCAATGCTGGACATATTGCAGACATTACTGTTAATGACCTGGCAAAGCTGCATCTTCCATGTATTTATGGTAAAGTTCTCAAACTAAATATCGAATATAACCAAAACCAAGAACAACTCAATACAACTGTAAAATATATTTTTCCAGAAAGAAATAATTTCTCTGGAACTTTTGAATTAGAACAAACCAAATTAGAAAACACATTACAGACAAAACTAAAATATCTGAACAGCCCCTGGAAGGTGGATATCCAATCAGCAGACAAGATGCATCAGGCAGTGGTTTCTGTAAGCGAGCATAACAAGTATACTATCAAAGCTAACATAGATCCTGGAGTAATAATAAGTTTAACAGTGGAAGACCAGGCTGGCAACAATGTGGTTGATTTACTGATAAATGTTCAAAGCTGGGAAACAAAGATTAGAGTAGATGACTCTGTATACCAACTATTTCCCTCTGATTTTAAAGGGAAAAAGTTCAGTGAACTAAAAATGGAAGACCATGTTGATTTTATAGAAATTTCATTTTTTAGCGGAACCTTGAAATGCAACCTAGAATTTTCAAAACAAACAGGAAACATTAAAATGTCTGCTTATTTTAATTCAAGGGTTTTACTTGACTTAAGATTTGAACAGAAAAATGACAAGATAGATGAGTATTATCATGAATATGAGATGTCCTATCAGTTAGGCAACCTTCTATTCAACTATAAGATTCACGGCAAAATAAGGTTTCAAAAAAAGGTTGAAAGACGAGTGGACGATGGCAATTATATGAAGCAAATAATGATGAATATAACATGGCTTCCAATATATCCATACCAGCAAGAACTAAAATTAGAAATGTTTATGGATGGTAATTATGGTTATAATGTACACAAAACATACAAATCAATTAAAATAAAAGCATCAGAACAAAGAAACCAGATGTTTGCTGTTGAGACAAATATTACATACACAACTAAAGATCCATGGAAGGGTTCATTCAACGCAGAAGTTTTATTTAATTCATCATTTGCTCAAGGTCTAAGATACTACAACAAGTATATAGATTTCTCTCAAGTTTCTCTCACAGCTGAAGTGGATTCAAATTCAGCCTCTGTTTATATATTTAAGAACAAATATCCTCTTTTCAACATAGATATTATGAGGAAACTGTATCAATACTGTGTCAAAATGTCAGTATTTGAGATTTATAAATCAAACCCTCTATTTCCCTATTCTATTCAAAACCTGTTTGGTGACCAAGAAAGTTTTGATATTCATGAATTTGACTTTGAAGTTAACAGCAACACTCGGTATATAGGAGTTTCTGGAGTTCTCAGTACAAGTGAAACCATCAGTAAATTAGATTTCAAAATGGGAAAAAATTTAAGAAGTGGAAAATTTGTCATCACAGCAAATGATCATGTTTGGCTTTATGCTGAATTGAAGGAAGATGGTAACCTAACAAATCATTTGGAGGTTCAAACTCTGCTTGGTATATTCACATGTAATTACAGGATCATAGATAATGGGAACTCACCAATCAGCTTTCTAACTTTTCTTCAACAATTGTTCAGAAATGAAAAAAATCTGTATGAGATTGAGTCGACCCAAAATGCGATTTTAGTAGATTATGAAAGTTTAAACAGCTATAAAGTTCAAATTAAGACGGGAGAAGATTTTGAACTCAACCTGGATTCTAGTACGTCAATCACCATCACTAATTATAATTATGATTATGATTATCTGAATATTAGAAAAGAGGCTCAGAAGATAAATATATATGAAAATGGAAAGTTTTACCTGGACCCAAGTTCTACGCCCTTTAGGATCTCAGCTAATTACGAATTTAAAGAAGATGATAAGAAAGAAAAAATGTTAGATCTTGATTTTAGTATAACAACTGCCAATGTGTGTAAACTCTTTATTTATAATTTAGTTGATTTAGAGGCAGAAGTAGGTGGTCTAAATTACATTTCTCTCAAGTCAACCATAACGAATGTGAACAATCTTACAGTAACTAATGCTGGAGAGTCCGCCTTTATAAACTTAAATGGTGTTCAATTGTTCTCATTTGAAGTAGCTTCAAACACAGAAAACTTTGAAATCAAGATGAATATTCCAAACTCGCTGATATCAGACTCTACTACCGTTGATATTGATAAACAAGATGTGTTTACAGTTGTTGTTTACTCCAGTGCAACTACAATACTGGGAATGTATATCAAGGGAAGAGATAACTGCATAAATGATTACAGAACTCCATCACTAGAATTATCCAAATATCATAAGGTGAGGTTGAATATTGAATCAATGATGTTAGGTTCATGGAGGGGGGCAACCAACCTATACAGATGTATGGGTAATGAATTTGCTTGGAGACTTGTTTGGATGGGAGCAGGTATAATAGAAGATCAAGATCCAATTGAAGAGAAGAACATGGATTATGGAATTGAATATTATGATATGAATACTATAGATAGATATGACCAGTATAAACCAGAATAAATGTTTTCATTGTTATCTCTTTTGAAATTTGAAATTTAGAAATGTTTTTTAGAATTATGCAATTTTTACTATTTTCTGAAGTTTTTACAAAAAAAAGCATTCTAATATTTTGAGTGATTTCTTTTGCATGGGTTGGGATAACACCAAGAAAATCAAATCACAATATTTTTACAAAAGAAATGTGAAACAAAGCCTGCAGGAGCTAACTATTCAGACTATACTATTCAGCTCATACTTTTATTATATTTAAACATTATAAGAACCTTAGATCAGAAAATCTCTTAAAATAATTTCATATTTATTGCTTCATTAATGAATTCCAGAATGGTAATTCCCAAGTTCATTTGAAGAGATTTTTAAAACAAAGAAGAGTTATAGGTTGAAATCTCCCATTCTAAAAAGCTTGATCCTTTTTCTGCTGATAAAAATTATCTGAACATTGGGTGGAAATGAATTATTTCAAAAATGATCCTGTATGATGATTTAAGAGAATCTTTTAAGAAGTAGATTTATGGCATCAAAAAAATTTTTAGTTAATTAATATTAAAAATTGTGTCTTCAAAATAAAAAATTTTACTTTATTGTTTTTGATAGAATTTCTATTTTAATGTGTAAAACTCTAGGGTTAATGTTATGCTTCTCAAGCAACAAGAATGTTTAAAGAGATTAGAACAATAAAAAGCTAATAAACATGAAATAATCTGTTTCTGTGCGGACAAAAAAATCTTGTTATTGGTTATTAAATATTGATAATTAAGATGCAAGTTGCTTTTAAGTTTTAAAAATGATAAAATTGAAATTCTGAATCTATCTCATGGTTTTTATGCAAAATTCTTGTCTGCCACTTTTCCCTCGAATATAAAGCATGTTGAGGATTGAATGCACCCAGTTTAAAGTTTTTAGTTTAAAGACTCAATCTGTGTTTTATTTCATTTGGACTTCAAGTTCTTTCTCCCTGCCACAGTCGCCTCTACACACTTTCCTAGGCTCATACTTTTCATTATTTGAAAAAGAACTTCTAAACTAAAGTTTCATTATTCAGTTTGAAAAAGAACTTCTTAACTAAAGTTTCATTATTCAGTTTGAAAAAGAACTTCTTAACTAAAGTTTCATTATTCAGTTTGAAAAAGAACTTCTTAACTAAAGTTTCCTTTTCACCCATTTCTCTCATTGAAATGCCCATTGTTTTTCTTAAATTATATTGCTGACAAAAAAGAAGAAAACAAATTTATTCTGGAACCAGCAATAGTTTAACATGACAGACTAAGTTGAATCACTTCAATTGTGCGGCGCTGGTTCTAGTTGAAGAGCAGTGGTTCAATTTAGTCTATTCAGTTCAACTCTGTCATTCTATTGATTAAATCTGGTCACTTGGGTTCTTTTGACTGACTTTATTCAGAAACAATCCGAATATTCATTACTGTAGTGAGCTTTGTTTGACCCCGCATTCACCCCCTCCATTTTTAAAACCTTCTTAGAAACCATACCCTGCAGCCTTCACCACAAGTAAAGGTTCGCTTGAAGTGACGTCTAAAGTTCCATCAAATCATTTTTTATACAAAATCCTTTTAAAATCACGAAGATTTGTTCGCAAGAAGAACATACTAATCATGAGGCTGATCCAACAGGGTCCCCCCCCCCCCTCCATTCAGTCTTTTGAGAGGCTTATCATTTTGTCTGATCTTTCCTCACTTAGTTCTTCTTTGATACAAAATTAAGACCAGGGGGCATGGTTGGGTTTCAGGGGGATTTACGTGAAAACTTAAAAAATAATAATAAGCGCAATCTTATTATGATCTGCATTATCAGCTTCATGGTTTACAACGTAGTTTTTGTAGTCTAATCTCTTCCCCATTCTTTCTACAACCATCACCCTTTACCTCCAACCTCCCACCTCTCAACCTAGCTCCAATCATCCCACCTTCACCTCCAACCTCCCACCTCTCAACCTAGCTCCAATCATCCCACCTTCACCCCCAACCTCCCCCTCTCAACCCCCTGTTCCTACAACCATCCCCCTTCTCCTTCAACCATCTTTTTCATTTTTTATCTTAATCTCCCTTTGTGTTGCAGGATGTTTGGCATTTTGTAAAGAAAATAAAATAAAGTTTTTAAACTTACGACATTTTATTCAATTTCCCGCCAAATTTTATCCCGTTTCTCCCTCTAATCCTATATTTAAGAAAATATTCGATATAACTCACAATTCTTTACATCATGGGGGGAGGGGGGAAGTACACTATTCCCCCCCCCCTTCTCAATCAACCTAAATTCAATTAAAGACTAAACAAAATTCTGTTGAGTACGCATGTCACTGAAATATAGGCGTGTCAGTGAAAAATATCCATCCCGGAAAAGGAATAAAAAGAATGATTTCAACCGGAAGTTCTGGATATGTCGGATAAAGAAAATCCGCAAAAATATTTTATTTAGAATTCATTTCTGTATTTATATTCCTTAATAATCACGCAACCTCTTAATGATGACTTCAGAGTTTTATTCTTTCAACTTTTCAAGATTAAGTCCGATAACAATTTAAACATTATTCTGTTGTAGTTATTGTTGTTTATATGTATAAGATGTATACTTATATATATATATATACAGGGTGAGTCAAAAAAAATTGTGATTTGCGGCGCCTGGTGCAAAATTGTACCTTTTTCTGTGCAACTCTCCTGTATGGTTTTTTCAATATTTTTTGAAAATTTGTAATTTTCTTTGGTACTCCAACAAAAATCCTCGAATCTTTTTTTTCTCTCAAAATCAAAAGTTCAGAAAAGAAAAAATGTGCATTCATATTATTTCTCTCTAAATCTAAAATTTTATTAAAATTGAATCACAGAATTATAGAAAATTGGCAAAATTGTAATAGAAAATTCGCAATTTTCAGTTCCGGGCTAATTTTGAAGGAAAAGTGATTTAAGTTCTCTAGTTCCTTTCTTCTTAGTTTATTCTAAAGTATTAAATATACGCTGTTCAGTTGAAACCTTAATAATCATTGAAAAACAATTTTTCCGTATAAGCTAGTGATTCCAGAACTGAAAATTGCGAATTTTCTAATTACAATTTTGCAAATTTTCAAAGATTCTGTGATTTAATCTTTTTAAAATTTTAGTTTTCAATAGAAACAATTTATTTACACATTTTTGTTTTCTGAACTTTTGGTTTTGGAAGAAAAAAACACCATACAGAAGAGTTGCACAAAAAAGTTACACTTTTGCACCAGGCGCCGCAAATCACACTTTTTTTTTACTCACCCTGTATATAAAAGATGTACTTGTATTATGTACAATTTGTCCGGAATGAGAATGAACCAACGGATAAACGATCAAAATCATCATTTTTTTAAATACTCCAATTTTTACAATAAAAAATCGAAACTTAGTAAAGATATTGTTAACTTTGAACGCTGGATCTCGATATCCAATGTGGACATTTCTAATTTGAGGATCACTGCTTGATCCCTCAATTATAGTTAATACTTACAGGGATATCAAAGAGGAATTCGATTATTCCGTAGATGTGGATAAGATGAATATATATGTTTGATCCAAGATTTAAAAACACAAAAGTAAAGATAATTGATTTAAGTTTATCATTCATTCTTTCTATTTCTATTCTTATTTTTACTAAATCCTTGGTAACTTTCTCTTCCTCTTCTTGCCTAATTAGCCCCTGCTCCTGGCTTCCTGGTGGTTCCCGCCCCTGCTCCAGGCTTCCTGGTGGTTCATCCCCCTGTGTATGGCTCCTGGTTTCATTAATTGTTCTTCGCTTCTGTTTGTGGCTTTCTTCGCACCTGTTCTTCAAACTTCCAGACGTTCCAGGACTTTTTCGCCCCTGCTTATCCGTTTCTGAAGCTTTTCACCTTAGATGCGATTATTAACTAAAATATTGCATTGTAGTCAATATCGTCTTCATTTTGATGGTGTATTGATGGCGTAAGGCGCCCGGCCTCTTCGACTCTCCTAGCCGCCGCGCTCGGCCCAGAATTGTCTTAACCAACCCCTAACCCTCAAATAATACAAAAATTAACAGGTTTCGTAAGTTCGATATTGCAGTAGGTTGGATATTACAGTAGGTCCGATATTGCAGTAGGTCGAATATTTAGAAGGCCAAAAGTGCAGTAGGGGGATATTGCTGTATTAGCGATGCAACCTTACCATGAAGTCCACTTACAAGATAAAGATGAAATCTCAAACTTGTACAGTGAGGCCCATAGACGACTGTTAGACTCAAGAATTATAATTTTAAATAGTCATGAACATAAAAACACCGCATCTGTGTTGTGTACACAGACCCAGTTCTCTTCAATGGTGATTTTGAAGAAACTAGCCTAGTAAAACTATTTGATTTATATCGTCATTAAATACAGATAAGATTGCTTCAATGTCGATTTCCTATTCCTCAAAACTCAGAGCTAACACTCAGATAATTGTACTCTTTCTTTTTTGCACAAAAGAAACTTTACAAGTCATAATTATTTTCTGGACCTTTGTCCTTTTTCCATCTCATAGAATTTAAGTTTAAGTTGAGTTTTTCATTTTTAAAAATGTCTTTTACTATCTCTAGTTTAAATACTTACATAACAAAATAATAAAATGTCAATTTTTTAGAAACATGTTTTTTTCTGCTAGTTTTGTTTGAAGGAGAGATAAAGTAGTACTTGCAAGGTAGTTGGACTGTATGTGTCTTATGCCTGATATGTTTTGAATTTAAAGTTCAAATTTTGCCCTCCCCCCCCCCGGAGCTCCTAAGGGGATGGCAAAAAAATGCCCCCCCCCCCAGAAATATTTCTGTGTACGCCCTCGAGCCAACCTTTTCTTACTTGACCCCAATTGCTCTCCATTATATTCTGGGCATTGTTAAACTTCATGGACATTGTCAGGTGTCGTCAAAATTTGCTAGGTTGAATGTCAAATTAATGGGTTATATGGTAATATCCGTAGCAAAGAACGAAATTTTATTGCATAACATATTATGTTAAATGAGATTTTTTTTCAATTCAGTAAATTTCAAGTTTTTATAACGACGACATAAATAGCTGTAAATTATTTCTAGTCCCTTATCATAAATTGGGCGCCGAAACAATAATTTGGAAATTTTACCAAAACAAATAATTGTGTATGGCCCAACTAGTTGTCTTTATTTACTCTGTTCCAATTTAGCATTCTTTCACTTTGAGTTAGCCGTGCAGCCTATTTTAGTGACATCTTATCCTTAAAGCTTAGTTTTGTCTTTTATATAAATATTCATGTTTTTCTTCATTTAGGTTTCTATCCGCCATATACATTATAGTAATCAGTATGCGATAATAGTTTCCTAATATGGTAATATAGAAAACAATATTAAATATATAACTTCTTCATATTCATTATTGTTTTATATACACGCATACCCCTCATCAATTTATGTTTCTTAATTATTTTTAATTGTATTTACTATGATTTTTTTTAATTGATTTGTTTAGATTTGGGTTTGTGATTCCGGATTGAAAATGGTGCTAAAACGTTTCTGAAGGATTTTTGGGAAACCAATTCATTTGAACTCTACTATTCACCATAGTTTCAGTAGAAGTAAATATTTCCATTTACTGTTATAGCATCTCTTCTTGGATAATGAGCCAGATAGAAAGATTGATGTTACCGGCATGCAATTTCTATTGGTTCAGAATAGACATTAAACACATGGCTGAACCCTGATTGGATCAGGAGCTATTGGACTCAGCATACTAGAGTGTATTTGAACCCAAAAACTTTAAGTCTATGTTATAGAGGACGTGAGTCAGACTCTAATAAAACGCATAAATAACTTCCAGTATATATATTCCTTATAACTTATTACTAGAGGGTTCAGAACTAGAGTCAATATCGATATCGCACGTGTAGACTGTAGAGATGATATCAGTACTATGCCCCGTATGCGTTCTATCTCATTCTGTTGAATCTTGTGGAACTAGTTTAACGCGGCCAGGCATCGTCTTCCACATTACCCCCCCCAGCGGAGAGGCCGGAGGATGAAGTCGGAGGCTGAAGGCGGAGAATGAAGGCGGAGGCTAGCGATAAAAACTCTTTTAACGTTGAAGCCTTTGGTGTAAAATCTTTGGTTTTAGGTTAAAAGTTACTCTTTTCCTCTTCGGCGTAGTAACGGCGGAGGATTCTGCAACAACTTTTCGAGGTCGTCCTCTACGTCTAGGGGGATAAGGAGGAACCGGAGGAGGTTGGCGTGGGGGTCTGCCCCGGAGTGGAGGTTCTAGTGGAGCCTCATCATCTGCTGTGAAAGCTGGTTTGAGGCTTCTACTCTCTTGCCAACCTGGAGCTAAAAGGTGTTAAGTATCGTACGTACTGCTTTAGATATCTTAAAATAAGACAAACGGTTTTGAATAATTAAAAGCAAATTTTTTTTTAATATTCCCCTAACCATAAAATGGCCAGGGGGTGAGAATCTATGTATAGCCTTATGATAAATGGTTTAGGATTGCTGCAATTCATGTTCAGAGTTCAATTTTTCAAGTTCAGCTCAATGTTAAATCAATATGATCGCTAACTTCAATAGTTTGTTTACATTTATAAACCTGTATCCTTCAGCCGTACACTATTCATTAAAGAAAGAAATTTGAAAACCAATCCGTTTAACTACTTTTCGTTAAAAATCTAAAAGAGATTGAGGGGGGGGGGCGACTAACTCCCCACCCCCTTCCGCTAGAATTTTGAATGAGACTAACAGAAATGCCTAAATACACAAAATTTCAAAACTAAGCCTGACGCTTTTTTAACCTGAGGTCCACATTTAAAGGGATTGAATCTTTGCCACACACTCTGATTTACTAATCCCTTTATCTTTGCAACTCAATGTCGGTTATCTTTTGATATTACAAACTATTAATTCCGTTAGATCAAATAAGCTAAGTTTGAAATATTAAAGTTTACACCATCAGCTGTTGCAAAAAGAAAGGGATTTAACAATTTGAGTTCAAATATTTTAACGTATATATATTTTCAAACAAGTGAACACTTATTTTCTTAAGTAATCTTTGTTTGATTTCCTTTTATTTCAATTGTGAACATTTTCTCTTTGTAACTATTGTAACAAAACCAAAAAAAAATTGTAGGGTTTTATACTAATTTTTGTAGATTTTCAAATTTTATAAATTTTAGAAATTGTGATCGTTCATAAACCTTCCCTATAAGCTAATATGAGTTTAAACACAAAATTTGGGCCAGATCGGTTCAGCCGTTTTGAAGTTTATTAAGGACACAAACAGACAGACACCAAGACACCCAAACAGACAAGCAAAGTATATATATATAGATTATACATTGATATTCTCATTGTATTGTTTTTGTAAAACATTATGCAGACATCTTAACAAGAGAAATAAGCTTTCAGCAACAGTACTAAGCAGCATATAAGCATTGATACAACTTGTTTTTATGTTTATTAAATGTATATAAGAAATTATAAGAACTATAGAGGAGGCCTTTGTAAGCAGGCCTCTGACCAATAACTAACAGGGGCATGGCTGAAAGGAGTAATGAGTGTATGGTATGGGTATATGGGTCACGCACCCCTGACTCTGTAATAAAAGTAAATTCAACCTAAAGTCTGACCTCGTCAACCTTGTTGCACCGGCTAGTCCTATTGAGTATCTGCTTTATTTACCCAATACAGTACAAACAGGGACCAGAAAGGTTGACCCGGCTCGGTAATTAAAATGTACTACGGCTGCCCGTGGGTGGGTGTATGGTGGTACTGTTTTGTTTATGGTTTATATTTTCTTTCAGGGTTAAAATTCAGCATAGTGTAATAAAAACACAAGTTTTTTTTTAACTTTTTTGTTTCTAAATATTCGTGTGTTCTTTACTATGTAAATTGTTTACTCTAGCAGAAGAATTCTGCAAAAAACGTGTTGTAACGTTCGTTTTTGAATGTTTTTTTAATTTTTTATTCTTTTTAAGATAAGGATATTGTAAAGTTTGCAAAAAGAAAACTTTAACATACAACAGTTCTTAAATTTTGAGAATTTGTTGAATGAGATGAGAGGAATTTATGAGTTTCTATTCTATTTTTTGTTTGTTTTTAACTGTTGTCTATATCTCATATGTATATATGACAAAGTGGAAATCTCTGATTATTTGTTTGTCTAATTATAACTCATAATTAACCTCCTGGACTGATTTTCCTCAAATTTTGAACAAGATAAAATCACAAGAATGTTTGGTTTGCAAATTTTAAGTTGAGTAAACTAAAATGTAAAGGAAAAAATAATCCGGGCAACGCTGGGTTTCCAAGCTACTATATAATACATAAGAAAAAATTAACTAGACATCCTAAATCTTGAATAAAAATATGACTATTTTTCCCTGTAACAAACTAAATCTTTGTTAGGACAAGTTTCAGATTTTGATAATTTTTAGCTTTTTGAAAAGCCTATGACATATTGCACAACCCGTCAAAAAAAATTTTAGTTTTTCTTAATTACACATCAGGTTATTTCAAATGACATGGTCAAGAGCTTTTCAAAAATGTATATCTTTTTATTTTTTGGACATTTTTTCGCAAACATTTTTACTATATAAATGGATTTTGCAAAAAAATATAATTTTTGCAAATTTGCAAAAAAAATCAGATTCTAAAAGTAGATCATTAGAACTTTCCAATGATATATAATTTTTCATATTTTGACATTAAACATGGGATTTAGGGGGGGTGGGGTCAAACTGACCCCCCCCCACAGCGTATCCTGGTTTTTGAGTACCCCAGAAAGGATAGGGTTAAACTATGTATAAGAAAGCTTAAAGATTATGTCGTCTTAAACTAACAAATTATTCACAATTCCTTAAGATATGAAAAATAAATAGAAATTCGACAAAAAAAAACAAAATTTAGTGAAAGAGTTAAGCCCTTGCCACAAACTCAAATATAATATTTAATCTAACAGAATTCATAGTTTAAGGAAAAAGGTCTATAACATTGGGTTGCAAAGATATAGGGATTATAAAGTCAGCGTTTGTATATTTTATTACTTACTATTGCAAAAATTCATCATTAAAAAGTAAGAAACCAATATAGAATAAAAACTTGTCAAGGATTACAGTACGGGACCCATAAAACTGTGAAAGACAACGGCTTCAATTCTAGTGATGATTGTACAGACCTATTTACCTAAATAAAGTTCTACCTCCTGGTTTTACCAAAGCAATATCAAACATAAATAAGATTGCATAAAAGCCATCTTCCTTTTCCATATATTATTTTCATTATTTTTCCAAAAAGTGGCTAAATCTTACTTGCAGTCATTGCATGGAACAATCTGTTCTGAAACTGTCAGATCTCCAATCTTTACGCCGTGCAACTGACAAAAAGCAATGTTTAAGAAAGGATGAAAAACTTTTTCTTTTTATATTATTCCCCCCTTTCACGCCACCTCTCCTTCCATAGTTTCCATGAAAAGCTCTCTAATATTAATATTTTAAAAACTTTCAAATAATTTAGATAAAAGAGGTTTTGAATAGTTTTTAATTATATTTCTAAATATATATATTAAATACAAAAGTATGCTATCCTTTAATATATAATACAGTTTTTTTTGAACTGTTGCTTTGTCAATAGTTTAATATAAATATACTAGAAATCCAAACATGAAAAATCTTTTAAAAAAATGTATCTGTAAAATTCTAGATTTCAACCTTATCAATTTATAATTGTACGTACACGATAACATTGCAAAAAAGTTATATTAACAATCTTGTAAACTGTAGAAACCTCGATACTTAAATAAATATCTAGATCTTAAAAAAATTATATGTTTCTCTTTTAGTCCAACGAATTTGAAAATGTTTAATGGCCATTATTACCACCACAATCTAAATATCAAATGTCAGAGAATAAAATATTTAATCATATATCTAGGAAACTTTTAAAAATTTCATGAATTTTCTAGATTGGATCGACTTTAAAGAGTTCCAACGTTGTTGATTTTATCACAGTGACTCACTTAAAACTTATATGATCACTGATCAGGTAGTTTAGAACTTGTTTGTAATTTTGTGAATATGATGAATACAAGGCTTTATACTATAAGTCAGGTTACTCTCGATGCGCTACAGGTTAGAAAGATAAAAAACTAAAATTACGTCACTCTCGCCTCTAATAATCATTTTAATCTACCTATCTTATTACACCACATTTTCCTTATATTGGAGCGCATCGAGGGTAACCAACCTAACCTCTGCAGCCCCTGCTCCTAGTTGTACAACCCTAGCTGAGAATTCATGTCCTGGGGTCACCACTGGTTCTACATACGAGGGAACATCTGCTCCATTTCCTGAAACAAAGGACCTTTTAGCATCATTTTTGTTTGTGTATTCCGCTAAATTTTGCGCGGAATTCAGCATTTTTGGGCGAAAATTTGCTATAGCTTAAAACTCAGCAGTGATTGATCGCACAAAAACCCGCAAAATTTGCACACAACAAAAACAATTTTTAATATTTTTTTTGAAAATCTTTGCTGAAAGGTTCCATAAGAGTTTATGTATTTTATAGTAAAAGCTTTCTCAAATTTTTAATATGGAAATTAGAGCGATGTTGTCATTTGCGTAAGTATTTGTAAGGGATTCCATGAACCTATTTTTATGTGGCTTTTTTATGAACTTTTAGATAGGAAAGACCCTATTTTCGAAATAATCTGTCCCGCTATTAAATGGTCATGACCATTAAATGTTGGTATTTGCGAAAAATTTGCAAAACCATCTTTTATGAAAACTTTGAGCCAATTTTTTTTGGAAGATTTTTCTTTGCGCAAAGTTTGCCTGAATTTGCATAAAAATAATTTTGCGCTTGTGAATCCGGCATTGCCATCTTTTCATGAAAGGTCACTTGAAATTACGCTTACAGTCCCTTTGGGGCACTCATCTATTGATGAAAATTATTACTAATTTCAGATAGGATCTCAAATAAGTATCCTCTCAAGATTTAAAAGTCTTCATCCGAAGTCTCAACAATTAATAACGTTTAAAGTTCGACCCAACTTGGTGAATTTACTGGATAAGAATATTGATGAAATATTAAATGGTTTAAACTGGTCTAACCCCAAAATCTTGGTGCACCAGTGAACGTTTTTGCGTCCCCAGCACAAATACCAACAGCTTCTACCTAAACACAAGATATAAGAAGTTTTACTAAAGGATTTTCCAATTATGAGCACTGAAACTTTCCAGTAGAAATTTAGATCAAAGAATTTTTTGAGATAGAACCCCAATTTATGGTTCACTTCAGGACTCAAGTAAGACATGTTTTGACCAGGCATAACTTACAAACACTTATAAAGAAGGGGAGGGGATAATGTCACAGGATTATCATGAAATTGCAGAGAAAAGGGTTTGCACCTTGTTTTTATCCTCTACTTGTGACTAGCAGCAAAAAAATAGTATTTTAAAATGTTTAAAGAAAGTTCCAAAATATCTATAAAAGATTACGATTTTTTTCTAAGTTTTATAGATGGAAAACATTCAATCAGATTAGACCCTTGGCTGTTAAATCCCTTACAGACAACAACCAAAACAAGGTGAGATGAAACATTGTTAGAATTTATAATATTCTATAAGTTAAGTACTTTGAACTGCCTGCCTAAACAGATTGGAGTTTTAATAAAGGAACTAACTTTTGCTACAGATTCTGATTTTCTTATCTTTGCAATCTGATGGTGTAAACCTTTGATATTTACTCTTTTCCTTTAGTATTTTTACATGATAAACAAACCTTGACAAGAACTTCTCCAGGTCCAGGAACAGGTTTCTCAATCTCCTCTATCCTGTAGTCTTCTAAATAAGATGATCGCGTATTAAAAAATAGTAGCTGAATTGCCCGGTGTTGCCCGTGAAATTTTTCAAGGGTTCCCACAAAGAATGTCAGCCAATTCGGCTCAGCTGTTTGACCAGCTATACATCTTAATACATTTATATATATGTAAGCGTAGAGCTTTATTATATAGTTCACAATACAACTTTAATCCCCTACCCTACATTTGAAAAGTGACTGGTCATATTTACAACAGTACCCTTAACCAGGGGAGGGGTTATTTCCAAGCCCCCCCCCCCCACGTGGTTTTTTTCGAAATCTATAAACTTTGCCGTCAATCTGCTAGGGTGTTTATATCCAATAAACGTCCACAATACTACATACTCAGTTTAACTACCTTACATAACAGGTCTGTCCCTTTAAATATGTTTCATATTGGAGAATTCATTATCAACTTGCTTCGTGTATATAAAGCAAATAGAAAATATCAACTGTATATGAAAGAATGCGTTTAAAAATAATTTATGAAAATAGGTTTTAATATCCAAGTGATTTGTTTGAGAAATAATTGATTTTTTTACGATCTGAGTTGTATTTTGCAAGTCGCAACTTTCTCAATTTGTACAGATTCTACATTATTCGGCCGGTGTGAGTCGTTTTTGACAATTTTCTCCTTATAGACGCATCAGATAGAAGTAAGATTAGTAGCAATCAAAAGCGATTATTTTTCGCCGTAAGCCTAAACCCCAATTCATTTTTGGTGAACACTCCCTTTAATATATCAGAGAATATCATTTGTAATTATAATTATTTATAATTTACTAAGTTTTATAATTTTTAATAAAATTTTTAACAAATTTTTTAATATCATATATATTATTTCGGAAAGTCTGTTTAGTGTAGTAATAAAAAAACAGTTTCTAGAATGGCTGGTCTGGTTTGGGCAACATTATTTTTGTCAGATATTTTTTACAACTTTAACGAAAAAAGTCTGTATTTTATAATACGTTGCCCATCTAGAAAGCTCATAACATACTGTCATAAATATTAAATAACATTTCCAAATCTGTAAATAATGAAACAATTTAATACTTGTCATGGTTGTTTTTGGGTTTTTTTAATAAAGAAATTATTGCTTTTGTTTCTTAAAGCATGCATACAGCCAAAGTTTAATGTTTCAGTTATCTGTTTTCAAAAGTATTCTGAATCTTGCATAAAATTATTATTTTTACATCTTTAAAAGTATTTTTTCTAACACTTTTACCTATATAAAATAGAAAACTTTATATAAAAGTGTATATAATTTAATGTTTCAGTTTTCAGTTTTCAAAACTTATTCTAAACCCAACATTAGTACTTTTTTTACACCTTGAACATTTTTTTTTAAACACTTACCTTTTCCATAGACACGGACTGCAGTCATCATCTCACACATTTTGTTATATAATTTCTAGAATTCAGCTAAAACACATTTGAAAACGACTAAAAATTTTAGACTAGGGTTGCCAGTGGAATGGAAAAATCGTTGCGCAAATTCAGGATTTTTTGGGCTTTTTTAATTTGCGTTCATTGCTTGGTGCTCTACTTTTACGCCCAAAAGTTGGCAGAAGATGCAAATTTACGCCGAATTATTCATTTGTGCGCTAAGATGAATTTCTGTACGTTGAGTTTTAGATTGGTTTCATTTAGTCTTTTTAATCCAGACGACTACTGAGAGGGGGAGAAAACTTCTTTTACGATGCTTAGAAAACCAACAGTGTGTCAGATGTTAACAGTTGAAGGTACAAATGTGTTTTTCCATGACAATTTAATCCGTTTTTTAGTTTTTTTCCGCTAATGTTTTAAATCAATTCTAGGTTCGACAATTTGAACCTAAATTCTACCTGATGTTCTTACAGATTCTATCTGATTTATTAATATTTTATTATAAACTATAAATTTATTTTAACATTTTCCGAGAGGCTATGTCATACACACACACATGCCAAACTGATTGTTGACTGAATGTTTCAAATTAAAACAAGTTTTTAAAGGCGCAGTGTTATTTAGAATATGTTGAATCAAACTTATGCTTTAGCTTCAAAAATTAAATAAAATATAAACAATGTTTGTTTTAATATGTTTTCCCATTACGTTTTAATATTTAATTCCAAAACTTTGGAAATACCAGGCTTTCAGGTAGGCAAACGCCACATTTTTTTAAAAATTGTATTTATTGCATTAAAAAACATTTATAACTACATTTTTTCCCCCAAAAAATAGTGTTTTTGATGGTCCATAAACATGACCCGATTAGTTCAGCCGTTTGGACGTTTGACAAGACTGATTGACGTACTTATATTTATGTATTTTTTAATCTTCATGACAGAAACAAATTTTAAAATATAAAAAGGATCAACTCAGACCGAAATATATTTCAAAAAAATTTGGAACTATATAATACTAACTTTTATTTTGGATCACAGTCAACACAATCTTTTAAATAAAGAGTTTGGTTTCCAATCCATGATATTGCGCTTAAGATTGTTAATCGTTTAAAAAACCACCAAAAAACTTTTGATTTTTAAAAGCGAACAGATCATTTCTTACTTTTGTATCATGAATAAATATCGGAAATGCTGGTTTTTTTAGTTTTAATGAAAGAAACGAAAATTCTAATTTTTGATTATGTGAAATATTTTACCACGGTCCTATCTTTACAATGAAAACAAGCTATATTAAGAAAAATAGAGCAATCTTGTTTTGCAAAAAGTTTTAGTTTTAAACTGTTCTGCACTTCTTAGAAACTCTTTAATTAAGAATTGTAATAGCTAGATAGAATTAGAGAGTTTTCATATTATTTATTGCACCGGAAAATTGAGTCTGTGCTCAATATTGTGCTTTTCTTTATTGTGCAAAGTCGCACAATCTTCATTGCGAATTTTTTTGAAGCAACATGTAGTTCGATGTTCTCTATTGATGCGACAAAAAATCGCAAAGAAAATCATCATTTTAGAGAGTGCGACTCAAAATTTTATGCAATTACAAATTATTTTTCACAATTTCCTTTGAAAACTTAATACAAAACAATCCATACAGAAAAGAATGTTTTAGTTTTGAATAAAATCATAAAAGTGAGTTAAAAAACAAAATAAATGACAATTATATTTGCTCCCTATTAGAAAATATGTTCATAATATTTACCCCTGTGTCTGTTTCTTTTACAAAATTTAAACCTTTTGCTATTATTTCGGTTGCCCGGGATATTTTCGACGTTTGTGCTGAAATAGAAAGCTTTGTTTAAATACCAATTATTTCAGTTCAAAATGTTCAACCTCTGGATAATGGTATTTTTTATACAGGTATCATAATTAAAATATGTACGTAGATGTCTAATGGGAATGTTCACGAAAAATGAAAAATGCCCCTTATAGGATGATTTGCAACACAATGTCAACTATGAATGCTGTAAGATCAAATAATCTAAGTTGCACATGTCAAATTTTTAAATTATAAGGTTGCAAAGATATAGTGATTCAAAAAAATTGATTTTGTGGCAATGACTCAATTCCTTTTACTACTAGCTGTTGCGTATATAAGAAGAAAATGGATAAAAACGTCTTATGTCCAAGAGCGTAGAGTTCATAATAATTCATAATAAGTTGCATTATTATTCTACTAAAATTTTTGTTCTCTTTATAGACGCAAGATATGGAAGTAAAATTAGCAGCAAACTATATCGAATTGAATTCAACCTATGCCTAACCCTAATTTAGGTTCCCGGTAATCCCCCCCCCCCATATCTTGTGCCCCACTGTTGCAGAAAAATTATACACTGCCTGCAGTTGCAGAAATATTATAAGTGATCCTCTATATGTGGTTTTAAAAATAAAACAAAAGTAACTGAACAATACTTTATTAACTTTAAATAAAAAAAACTGTGCCGCTTTTGAAGGAAGCTGGCAAAATATAGAATATTGTGAAATTGGTGCTGATTCGCAAGCCTCTTCCAAATAAACAAAAGTTAGGTTAAAGAAGCATTTAAAAGTATACAGCCATAAGGAATGGCCATAATTAATTGCTTGTAACTCAAAAGATCTAATGTTTACAGCTATATAGAATAATTATAAATCATGCAAATTGCAACTCCATAACTTTACTTTAAGGCCCACCCTCAAGGCTAAACATAGATTCAGACCCATGCAGCCTCTCGATGGTTAAAACCTCCAAAAAATTAAATGTCATAAAATAAATCCAAAACAAAGCAATTATCCCTATTCCCTACTGACAACATGTTTTTGAATATCTATTTGATATTGAAGGCTGTAGCTGGTGATCGGAACACGATTTACAAAAGAGAATTGGTAGATGAAGAGCATTGGCAGGGATTACCTGGACGGGAAGTTATTAACACCAGAACTGAAGTACAGGTGTAGTTAGTGATGATTAAGATTTTTGGGTTCTACAAAAATCTGAGCAGCTATTTTTGCAAAATGCAGAATTTGATGGGCAGGAAATTTAAACCAATCCCTGTTGGGGTTCTTGAAAACCAGGATATGCGCCCCCCCCCCCTCTAAGTCCCATGTTTGATCTCCAAAAATGACAAATGATACATTATTGGCAAGCTCTTATGCTCTTATCTGCAAGTAATGTGCAAATTTGCAAAATTTTAAATGTGTAATTAAGAAAAAATAAAAATGTGCAAACTTCTTTTGCAAATAATTTGCAAAATTTCTTTGCAAAACTTGTGCAATATTACATCACCAACTATTTGCTTTATATCATTACGGGGTTAGTTAAAAACAATTCTAAGAACAATTTCTTTTATAAAACTCCGAAGAAGACAACCTCCAATAAAAACTGTCACATTGTTTTAGAATTGTTTTTTTTTCCATAGAAAGGGCTATTGTTGTAAGAATTAGAAGCATTTTGTTTGTGTATTGCGAAATTTAATATCTCGTCGAGTCCAATCAAAAAGTGATATGAAATAGAAATTGTAATTTTATGATTCTTTGAAGTAAATGATTTAAGTATGTAGTTACTTTTTAAAAGTCAACATATTTTTGAAAAAAGATTTCAGAATAAAAAATGCTATGACACACTACACAAAGGCCCGCAGTTTTTATGGGCAAGCTTTTAACTTTAATTATCTATTTTAATTGGATTTTACAATATTTTTGAATATTTATATGACATCAGATGGAAATATTTTGAGATTTCTATATTTCGTATTCTTCATTTTCTTCTTGTTCTTACATCTTTTAATCATATTGGACTAATTTTGAAAATAAAAATAAAAGAATTTTTTTTGAAAGTCCTTATAGTTTGCCACTTTACAAGAAAGAACTATTTTTAAGTGATCTTGCTTTTTTTTCTAAACCCTGTATTTAATTGAACTAGCTGAGGATCTTGCCTTCTCTTTATATAGAATTGTTTACTAAATTTTCTTTTTATTCTTGCTTCTTGTTTCTTGTGTCTACACTTTGAGGCCTCTCCAAATAGTTCTTTTGAAATTGAGTTGTGGAGCAGGTAGGATTGAGATAAGTAGGTTTGTAAAAGGAAGGGTATAGGGAATTGCTCACTGTGTTCCTTCTATTATACTCTTTCCTAGTTAAGGGGTATTAAGTAAACCCATAACTCCACCCCTTACGCAAAATGGGGAGTTGTAAGCCCTAAAGCCCCATTGAGAGGAATCTTTCACAGCAGTCCAGTTCTTCTTACAGGTGGTCGAGTAAAACACAGGTATTGTTGTGCATGGCATGTATACCCATCAGGGGTTATCCTTCTTTCAGTTACAACATGGGCTGAAGATGAAGTCTTGTTTTATTTTATGTACATTCCTTGCTTCCCCTGTAGGATACAAGATGCATGCACTCCACCAAACCAAATAAGAGAGTTCCGTTTTCTTCTAAGAACGGTAGGCAACTGATTGAATGGGCAAGTAAAAGGACCAATTGTTGGAAAAAACATTTGAGCGTTTTTTTCAGTGGTTTTGTTTAATAAATTATAACTTTGTTTCGGAACTTTAATATTAAAGCTGTGGAGGTTTTATGTATGCATGCATACATATAACATATTGAATCATAACTTTATTTAAAGCAATGGGCGGCGGGTGAGGGGAATGAGGGGTTGACATAGAGAAGAAGGTTAAATTCATGTGACTGGTAAACTTTTAACCTCAATAGTTCCGTTATTTTTGATATTATGCACCAAGTATGAGAAAGCAACTTTCATACACTATTGTCATAATATATATATGAAATAATTCAAGCATTTAAAAAAAGTGCACTTTTTGCTTTCTACGTACAAGCGGAATTGGGCTATTCTAGTTCACAGTGAAACTTTGGTTTTTTTTTATATGTTACAAGCTGAGGTGGCTGGCGTTGCCCGTAAAATAATAAGAAAAATTGAATTTCGAAAATAAATTGATTTTTGAAAAAAGTGGAATTTTGAATAAAAATTGAATTTAAAAAAAAATCATCTATTTTTAAACCAATGTGTTGGTTCCCTCACACAATTTCAGCCAATTCGGTCCAGCCATTTGGCCAGTTATAGTTTACATATATAAATAAACAAATATGCAAACAGTGTTTAATGATACTAATGATACTATTAAAGACTTTTTTTATGACTATAAAAAATTAAAGTGTGCTGTCTTTGCCAATCTGAAGGCTGATCTCCGAAATGCAATCAGATTCAGGTAGTTTAGGATAAAATCAGTATAAATATCATTTTATTCACCGTACATATGTTATTTTTTTTCTTTCACGAAGCTAGGTTTCCAATGAAATGAAGGGAACAAAAACCAATAAAGCCATAATCAAGAAAGTATTTTGAAAAAGGTCCAAATTGCACCTTTTTCTAAATGACTTTTTTTCCAGGGACTTCTTTAATTAGTATTTATTTTCTTATGGTACTTAATTCCTGCTGATTTTAGTTGTGGTTTTAGTACGATATCCACAAAAAAGTCAGTGCTAAACACTAGTATGACTTTTTTAAAGGATTTGATTTTCGGACTTTTTCTAGTATTTTTATTTCAAATACTTTTTTCCAAATATTTATTAGATGGAATCTTAAAATACTTCAGACAAAACACTTTGCAGTTCAGAATTATTTTCGACCCTATCGGCAACTTTTTTAATTGAAATAAGTTAAATTTGTTCAAGTCTCAACGCTCGTAACCCCCAAGAGACAGATGAAAACACCCTGCATTTAATATGTAAATAAAATATCTCCAACAAAGGAGTCTCGTTTATTAAAAATCCTGTTCGGAAACCTCTTTCCAGATGTATGCTTTTTATTACTGTGCTGGAGTATGTGATATATATTTATTACAGTACTGGAGTATGTGATATATATTTATTACAGTGCTGGAGTATGTGATATATATGCTGGAGTATTTGATATATATTTATAACAGTGCTGGAGTATGTGATATATATTTATTACAGTGCTGGAGTATGTGATATATATTTATTACAGTGCTGGAGTATGTGATATATATTTATAACAGTGCTGGAGTATGTGATATATATTTATAACAGTGCTGGAGTATGTGATATATATTTATTACAGTGCTGGAGTATGTGAGGTTGGTTGGCTGAACTCACCCCCTCCTCAGTCAACTAGTTCAGGGAAAAAATATGAAGATTAACTATTTGCCTTTTGAATTACATTTAAACTTTATAAAAGCTTTAGATATTTATTGATCATAAACATACCTAACTTCAGGGTAAAAAAAAGATGATTTTCAGAAAGGGGGGACAGGGAAATGATTTTTTAAATATAAACTCTGAACTAACATTTTTCTTCCTTTTTACTCTTTACAGTTATTGACGTGAAAGTGAGAATGAGCTTGATGGTAAGTAAAGAAAAATGTTAAAGGGAAATAATCAGAAAAAATGAATTATTCAAGATTGATGGGCAAGCCGTGTCTCATGAGTGTCCAGTGGAATATCCCTATCCATACAAAGATGGGAAACGCTGTTTTGAGGAAGCATTATTTTAAAAAAAATTTTAGTATTTCATACAAAGAACCTTTTAAGATTTGCTAAATAACTTAAAAGATGTGTTGCCCTAGCACTCTCATATTTGACATTATCATCTTGACATTTTTTACTTTTAAAGATAAGTAGTTTCAGGAATTCTTTAAACATTTTTTTTATGCATAGAGTAGAAAACGAGACAGTGAAAAGTTTGGTCAGTGCATAACATTTTTGTTATTAGAGCTATAGATCTAAAAACTAATTGTTCAAAACCCATGAAAAATCAAGTTAATCCCGTCTTATTATTTGTAAAAAACAAAAAACAAATTTTTTTTAATTTCTCAGTCATTATTTCAACAATTTTTGAAACCTTCTGAGCATCTTATATCTTTATTTTTAAGGCTAAACATAGATTCAGACCCTCAGCCTTTATAGAATTAAATTATGCAATGTTTTACTCACAGTGGAAACATCAAGACTCTAGATTTCTATAAAACATTTAGAGCCTTTTATCAATTAAGATTTTTTTATGAAAGAAAATATCCCTCTCAAAATATGAAAAGCTTTAAATTAACTGAGCTTTGAAAACTTGTACTTTAGCCATGAAATGATGTTATTTCTGGTTAATAATGTGCCTGAAATTATTACAATTGTATATTTAATTTAATGTTTTAAATTTGTTATGAGTCCAGTTGCGGTTAAAATGAAAGAGTTAAAATTAGGAACTGTTAGTGTAATTTGAAGTGATCCTTCAAGCTCTTTCCTTGAAACCTTTTTTTGATAAAAAATATGGAAGATATTGTCGTTTTTCTAGGTTTGAAAGTGTTAAATTCTAATAATACCCATATGTTTTTATACAGTAGAAATGTGCAAGTCACTTTTGTATAGAAAACTCCAAATTATTAACATGGAAATTGTTGCGAATCGTGCATTGACATTTTTCAATGGAGAGTCATTTTTTTTGCTTACAGTCCCTTTATTTTAATATTGTATGTTTGCAAAACTATAGGTTTCATGACTCAAAATAGATTTTTTTTCGTAGAAATCAGTTTTATGCTTTCAATGATTACATTATCATACCTATATCATATCTTGAAACATCTAACGTTTACGATATTGGGTTTCCAAGATATAGGTATAAGTACAAAATCGGAGTTAGTGACAAAGACGTAATTCCTTTAATAGTGTTTTGTAAAGTGTTTAAAATGCTTAATTAAAAAATTGGTGCAAACTGTTCTGTTAAATAGAATGATCCTTTAAAAACACTATTTGTCTTTGTTTCTTCAAATATTAGACCTTTAATGTTTAAAATTGAAGTAAACACCCCTTAGTTTGGTCATAACCTCTCTTTTTATGGATAAAATTGAAAGAAAAAGAGGAATTTTTCTTTTTATTATTAAGCTTTAAAATATGGTGAGATTTCGCCAACAAATTACAAAGATATTTGTATAAAAAAGTCAAATTTGTGACACTTAAATCCTAATCAGTTAAAATGTTTGTAAAATATTTCCGTGGTTTTAATTTTAATCTTTATCAGTAAAATCTTTGTGAATTTTGTATCAAGGAATACATGAGCTATTGCTGAAATCCTATTTCCCTATTTAGCGCAGGGATAACTGTCTGAGAGTAAGATATTGAGCATCAACAGTTTTCAAACTAAATGCTTAAATCAGACGAATCTTGAAGAAAAGTTTAAGGCTGTAACTGTTGGCACCAAAGGGTTTCTCACAAAGAAAAGTACATCTTGAAGGTTACACATTCTTGAGCATCATGTTGCATAAAGGAATTGAGTTTTTGCCACAAACTTTTATTTTCTAATCACTATTTCTTTAGAACCCGATGCTGTAGACCTTTGATATTTCAAACTATGATTTATGTTAGATCAAATGATCATAATTTAAAATATCAAAGGTTAACAGCTTTAGATAGGAAAAATATAGGGATTAAACTTATTGAGTTTGTGGCAAAAAATCAATTCCTTTAAGCATGGATTTTTCTCTAATTGTATTAATAACTTGACTTTATCAAATCAAGGTTCTTTGCGTTAATTTTTTGCTTAAAAATACACGTTTTAGTTTTATCTATAATTTTAGTGGAGGTAGTGTAATGTGCTCATTCCAAGAATCAGATATATGTGAACGGAGCAGCAAACTTATTCACAATCCTTTCCAGGAATTCACAATTTATCGACTTAACTAATAAAATATTCATATCAATCTTTCATTTCAGCCCTAGTTCAGAATTGCATTAAATGACAAAACCAAGAAGAAATCTCCTAACCAATGATAGGTTATTCTATAAGTAGTTTTGGATTTAATTTGGCATAAAAGAGAAAAAAGGTATAGAAAATGGTTTTCATACTTTCATAATTATTTTATTTTGATTTTATTTTCTGTCATAATTATCAGTATGGAGTTAAAGCTTTTCAGATTAAGAACACAGTTTTTGTTTGACTATTTATATATGCTGAACCAGAGACAAAAACATATTTAGCATAACTGTGAAATTTTGGAAAGTTTTTTAAATGGGACATTGATGGTAAAAATGGAGTATATTTACCAAGATCCAGTGCTGAAGAATGCCAACAGATTTGTGACAATACCTTAGATTGTGTGGTAAGTTTATAAAGGTTGATAATGAATTGCTGTTTTACACAATGTAGAAATGTTACCCTATACATCTATGCATAGAAGTATGAAGTTGCATTTCATATTTGTAGCTTAATATGGAAATAATAAGACTACTGACATTAATGGTTTGAAGAAAAATGGAAAAATACCATGAATAAAATTGATTCAAATTTCAAAACTAAAATTGCATGATTCATCCTTCTTAAATCACACAATCAGGAAAATTAAAAATGTAGTTTTAATTTCCTAAAAACCCAAACCCTCTTGAAGAACTTAATTTTTGTACGTTATACATAATAGAAGACAAAGAGAAACAAAGTAAAGAGTAACAAACGCATATTTGAGCAAATTTACAGAAAAATTACGGAAACCAAATCTCTACATAGTTAAATCATTAAGCAATAGCCAAATAATCAAATAATAAAATAATTGAATAATTAAATAATTAAAAAATGAAATAATCAAATAGTAATAATTATGTACAACTACTTTACAGAGAAACTAAGGGAATTTTACATAACCAAGGATGTTTTGTAGACAAAATTGGTCGAGGTTACCCGTGGTTAAGTAAATATTAAATTTCCCGAAAAAGTGGTTAAACGAAATTTTATTGTATTTTGAAATGAAAATGCGTGAAAAATTTCCTGAAAACTTTGCAGAGCGGGTGTTATTTTACTTAACTGTCCCAAGGGACGTTAACTAACATAACCTCCCTCTTTTGGGGGAATAATAGGTCGATAATGTTGGTAAAAAGGCGATAAAATAATTTAAGAATTAAATAATTAAAAAATTTAAATGATCAAATAATAAATGATTAAATAATTAAATGAGAAAATGATTTAATAATTAAATATATAATTGATATTTAGAAAATTAAAAAATTAAAACATTTTCATTAAAAAATAATGGTTATTTAATAAATTAAAACCCAAACCTACAGCATAATTATGGAGATTCAAGATCAAAATAAATACCTAATTTTCCCTACAGAAAAAATCTTGATGATTTTGATGATTTTAGGGTTGGGTTTGGAATTCTGCTAATACAGTCTGCTATCCTAAACTAGAAGGCACTTTGAATGTATACATTTCTAACAAGTACAGGCAAGATTACTTCATTTTAAATAATATTTAGTTTACATATCTCTAATCTGAAAACATGTATACTTATTCAATGTACTTTGCATTTATTTTACTCAAAAAATGTTGAAGACGGCTTTAATTTTATCATTTGTAAGACCAAAAATTGTAAAATAATACCAATTAGTTTGTAATGTTTTTTTTCAGTATTCCTACAATTGTAGCCGGATATAAACCTTCATATATCAATACAAGCCTTGAAGATCTCTAATACCCTGGCTAAAGTTACATTTATAGCACTTTTCGATATCCATATTCTAGATGGAACATCCTAACCATCATTAATCTCTTGTATTAAGAGAATGGCAAATGTCATGTAAATATTTAATAACTCTCCACTTAATGAAAAATCTGTTAAATCTGGAGATTTTTATAGAATAATTAAACTGAAACATTGAAAGCATCTAATTGGGCTTAATCCAACGCAAATAAAAAAAGAAATAAATGTTTTTTAATGTATGTTCAATATCATGCTGATTTCTTAAAAATAATTCAAATATTATGTTACCTGGGCTTTGATTAAATAAATTAATTCTGTTTAAATTCAAATTGTTCTGTCCAATAAATATGGGAAAATACATTTGTAAAAACCACAAATAAGTTTCCTGGTAAAATTGTTCAAGTGTGGGTAAACAGCAGGAGTAGCTTTTAGTAACCTGGGCAGCGCTGGGTTCCCAAGCTAGTATATTTATATACTTTTAAAAATGTTAGCTGCCCTACAAACACAAAGCAGAGTTAAATCCGGATAAAAGTCGACTATTTTTAAACCAGAACCCGGATAAAAAACCTCGTACTGAAAACGTTTTAAAGACGGTTTTACAGAGTGTTTTAAGACTTCAAAAAAGCGTTTTAGACAGTCTAAAGTCTTCATTTTTGGCTTTAAAGTAGAGATAAATTCTTTTTTTAATGGTGTGTTTTCATCCGAGTATTTTAAAACGGATTTAATCCGTGTGTACACTAATAACAATTTTTTAAATGGTTTAAAATGGTGTCTTTTTAATCGTTTAAAAACGCACCCAGGGTTTAGAGGTTTATAGCTGGCAAAACGTCTATTTTTTTTTAATTCTACGGGCAACACCAGGCACTACAGCTAGTGTGGAAATAAGTATAGAGCCAATTGTTTCCTGAATCTACCAAGGAAGATTATAAGAATGAAAAATGTAGAAACTCTATGTGTAGTTGTTGTCCTTGTATTGCTCTGCATTGTTGAAGCTCCTGCAAGAGCTTAAAGTACCAGATGCAAATTTTATTGTGTCAATAACTCTTTGCCTAAATTTCTTTGATGGTTTTTTTTAACGTTTGGCCACCATTGATTTCCAGACTTGGTATTAAGAAATTCCCAGGATTTGTTCCAAGGAAGTTCCAACAAATTCACAGAACTTGGTCACTATTTAGAAGATGTTTTAGGAAACAGATTTTTTAAATTTTTTTAAAGAAATTCCTAATATTTTCCTGAGAGATTACAAAGAAAATACAGGATTTAAGAAACTTCTAAGGAAATTTTTGGAAATGGGTTATAATCTAGAGAGATTTCTGTGAAATTCCGAAAAAAATTTCTGAAGTTGGTCACCATTTTGGAAGATTTTTCAGAAAACACATTTTATCCAGTTGACAATGATTTGATGGTAAAGGATATCTAATATATTTTTAAAGACAGTAAATATTTACAAATTTAGTTTTTCTGTCTGCTAAACTGTCAAGCTCTAATGGAGTGAATTTGAAATGCATTTTCAGTTCTGCAAATTTAAACTTTACAGTGTAGTCCAGTCCTGACCATTTTCCTTATATACAACTGTTCTGTTTTTATCCTGCAAGGTGACAAAACATTTTTTTACCATTGTTAGCTTTGTTAATGACACAACAAACATAGATTCACAGATAAGCCAACCATACAACAGTGAACATAGTTACATTTTAAAATCAAAGATTGTACCTATGGACAGAACGGTAGTACAACTTTTGGCAGCTAGAAGCCGTTCCTTCCATAAACTACATTGGTCAACAACTTGACGTCTCCTATATTGGTCGTCAAGTGTATGGAAATTATCTATCCATCTGATAAGAATTTAAAATGAGTCATGTAGTCATTTTTGTTTCTAATTTCTTAAACTTAAATATAGCTACGCAAATGTATATCCCCCAAAGTGGACAAATTATACTATGTATGTGAATCTTTCACTTCTATAAACCACAAACAATAAACTTGAACAGAAGGCCAGCTTTCACCAGATCAATTTCAGCCCGTCCATGTTAGACATAACATATTTACACACAAAAATACTAAAAATAAATTTCACATTTATTTCAAAATCAATAACAAGGTTTATTCAAGCTAGTTGTCCTTACAATTATATTCCAAACAGGGTAATACAGTACAGGGGTGAACATAAATTATATTAATAAACAATGAAAAGTCCTCTGGACCAAGGGTGTGTTCTGTGTAGGAGCAGGGTTGCAGTTCTTCTTCTGTTTGTGGAGGAAACCAATTTACACCAGGAGGCCTAAATTTTGTAATATTTAAACACTCATTAATACCTTTCTGATAAATATAAATATCTTTGCAACATAGGACCAAACTTATTTAACCCTATCCCTGCTGGGGTACTTGAAAACCAGGATACACTGGGGGGGGGTCAATTTGACCCCCCCCCCTCTAAATCCCATGTTTTATGTCCAAATATGACAAATGATACATCATTAGAAAGCTCTTGTGCTCTACTTTTAGAATCTGCAAAAAAAATTGCAAATTTGCGAAAATTGAATTTTTTATCGCAAAATCCAGTTTTATAGTAAAAATGTTTGCAAAAAAAATTTGTCCAAAAAATGAAAAATTATACATTTTTGAAAAGCCCTTGACCATGCCATTTCAAATATGCAAAAATTTTTGCAAAATTTTAAATACCTTGTTTTTTATTCAGGAAAACTTAAAATGTGCAAATTTCCTTTGACAGGTTGTTTGCAAAAAATTTGAAATTTTTTTCGCAAAACTTGTGCAATTCGTTTCCTTATGTCATAGGCTTTCCAAAAAGCTAAATTTTATCAAAATCTGACAAGTGAAAGTGGGTCAAAACAAAGATTTAGTTTGTTACAGGCAAAAGCAGTCATTCAGGCAGTGTGCCTGAGGACTCAGGCAGCTAGTATTACAGCCCGGTTTTAGGCCTAAAGGGAGGACTTTAGGTATGTAAGAAAAGTCAGAAAATTTCAACAGCCTCAGACCAACACTTTTGGAGTTATGTAAAAAAAACTTCAGGGGGGGGTCAAATTTGCCCCCCCCCCCAGCGGGAATAGGGTTAAGTACAAGAAGTAACTGAACAACAACCACTTCTATTCAACTTGAAGTTGCTCAAAAGAGAAGTATTTGACCTACGTCTGTGCGGATCAGCAACTTCTTAATATTCATTATTTTGGTCTCTGATGTTTTAGACAGCTTTGATATTTCAAACAATATATTCTTTTCCACAATCCGGATGCAAAGATGGGGAAATGAAAAAAATAGAAATTCCCATGAGTGTATTTTTCATAGGGGTTTTAATCGTTCTAGAAACGAGTAAACACTATCATGTTTCGTTTCGTTTTGGATGTTTCAACACAAATGAATTATATCGTTGAAATCATGTATATCTGTTACGTGGCCTTGGACTTGAATTTCTTTGCCGCGTATGGATTTCCGCCTAGCTTGGAATCGTCTTCCGCCACAGTCTGTTATTTGAGAAAAATTTGACCAGCAACAGTTTNAGAAGGAGATCGATATGAAGAATAATATTAGAATAATAATAATAATAGAAGGAGGTCGATATGAATAATAATAATAATAATAATAATAGAATAATAATAATAATAATAGTAGGAAGTCGATATGAAGACTAATAATAGAATACTAATAATAATAGAAGGAGGTTGATATGAAGAATAATAATAGAAAAATAATAATTTTAGAAGGAGGTCGATATGATAATCAAAATAATAAAAATAAACATTTTTAAATGATAATTATCCAATAATTTTAAAAACTAAACTTAAAAATAAATAAATAAAATAAAGTATGATTGGAAATATCTTTAAGATACTTGCACTAATCTAAAAGGATAGTTTCATATACAAACTTTTGTGTCAATGGCCAAGATTTAATTTAAATGCAAGGATTTGAAAGCAAAAAAGTAAACATATGATGCTCATTACGCTTTAGATTAAATACTTAATCTTTTTTACTTTGCTAAAGCTTTATTTTCATTTTCATTCATTCATTTTGTACTAGCACTCTCATTTTTCACACTGTGAAATTGTGTGACCTTTAATAAATAGTAATTTAAAGGATTTTTTGTTAAATTTTTTTTTTAGTTTATAGGGTAGGGTAAAAGGCGGAAAAAAGTCCGGTCTTTGAAAAAAAAAACCTAAAATAGCCCATAACTTTTTTTGCGACTAAAGCTAAGGATCTAAAAACTTTATTTTTGAAAAGCCCTTATAAAATGCATGCAGAAACATGTGTCATCACACTAGCTTTGAGATTTGTATAAAACCAAAAAATATTTGTTTAATTTTTTTGACCCTGATTTTAACCTAATGTTAGAAGCATGTGTTAAATAGAAAAGTCTAAAAAAATTGAACAGCCTCAGACCAAAACTTTTTGAGTTATCTTCAAAAAACGTAAGGGGGTGGGGCCCCAGGGTCCCCAGCCGAACTAGGGTTAGAGAGTTGTTAGTCACAATTTTAGTCTTGTTCTTTAAGATCGGTAATTTAAGTTTAAATAGTTTTATATAGATATACCTGATATCTAGGAAGAGTGATGTCCCCGTCCAAGCTTATTTTACTAAAATCCACAAAATATCTGTCATCTTAAAATAATAAAAAAAATATAATTAAATCTAATAATATCAAAAATAATTAAAAATAAAAATGGCAAATATTAGTTTTCCTGAATGCAGCATCAAGTTCTGTAACTTCCTTGACAGGCATTCTGTTTACGCAGTCATATCTGAACTCATCTAGACCGATTGAACCATCACCTGGAACAAGGATAGTATTACATTAAAGGAACTTGCAGTATGCAAAGATGGCAAAGCCTGATTCAATAAAGTGGCTAGCCGCTAGATATACCGTTTGTCTTAGTTAAAAGTGTTTAATTCTGATAAATATGAAAGTTTTCCTGCAGCAGTCCATTTTGTTGAAAACCCTTAATTAAAATTAATCTGTTTTTAAAATTATAAATATTGATATACAATTCATGCTTTATCATAGCGTTAGAATTGATCTTTGCCAACTTTGAAATTAAACTTACATCGATTATTTAACCCTATATCCTGATTTGGCTATTTCTGTCTAATATAGATCAGGGGAGGGATGTTTTGCACCCCCTCCCTATGATTTTGCCTTTAATGTTGAGATAGGGGAGTGTGATACATGTCCTTAGTTCAACTTTTCAAGGCCTCCTCATCAAAAAATAATTAGACCTCTAACTTAAATAAAATAGTTATTTTTACTTTTAACAAATATTAACATATGACACATGTTATTATATCCATTTTTCAATGGCTTTTTAAACATATAAGTCTTAGCCCTGTAGCTTAATTAATAACAAAATTATTAACCGTTTCTATTTCTTTGAAACACCGACCCACCGTTTGATCGTTCTCCACCCTACCCTATGCATAAAAAAAAATTTCAGCAATATTTTTCACAACTATTATGTTGAAAAAGTGAAGAAGTTTTAGTTTTCTAATGTAAGCAGTTTTTAAGTTATTTAGAAGAAACCCCCCCCCCCCTTCGTGATAGGGTAAGTCAATATAGCTGGATGGTTTTTAAAACATTGTAGTAAAATTTAAATTTAAATTCAAGAGTCATATTTTAATGAACAAATGAAATTTTAAAATAACAGTAAATAATAAAAACAATATTACCATCAACGTCAATTGTTCTAAACTGAGCCTCAATAAAGAACTTAAAAGCATTTGGTAGATCTGCATATGCTTTTCCCTGAGAGTTGTCACATTCATTTTTTTGTTTTTTTAATATGATTTTTTTTGTTCAACGGGCAACGCCGGGCACATTAGTTAGTGTAATGAAGATTACAGTTCCAATCTTAAATTTTAGAATAAAAAACGTGAAAAATGTGAAGTTTTAATTTATCGACTGAAGGTAGATAAAGAAAATTTAGTGCTGTCACTTTCAAATGGGAAGGTAGCGGATACAAATGTTTATTGTTTCCTAGATTTTTATGTTCTAATGAAATTTGCTATAAAATGGACAAAAAGTTTAAACTTGATAGTTTTAGACAGGGGCTTTAATTTAATAGGCTTGCATAACGAATTGGCTTAGAATAAGGATAAAAAGGTTTGCAAAATATTTAAATTTATTGTGCATATGCAAATGCAAAATCTAGATATTTAAGTGTAGAAAGACACATAAATAGTGTTCAAAGGTTTACTGCACTTTTGCATTTAAAGAATATGTGACAGGTTCCTTGCAAGCAGTTTCTACTCCTTTCATGAACTCATCAGAATCAACTTCTCCATTCTCAAATATAAAATAGTTTAAACATTTACCAAGTTTATCAAAGGAAACGAGTCTTTGCCACAAACTCGGATTTCAAATTATGAATTCTGGTGGATCAAACAATGTAAGTTTGAAATATGAAAGGTAAGCATCATCTGGTTGTTGAGATTTTGGAATTATAAAATTGGAATTTGTGACAAAAACTGAATTCCTTTACCATGATACGCAGAAATCTAACCTGCAGAAAAAGAAATCAAAGGAATTAAGTTTTTGCCAAAAAATAATCCCTATATCTTTGTAACCTAATTTCGTTGAAATCAAATCATCTGAGTTTGAAATATACCATTAAATTATAGTAGATATATTAGAATTAGAAAATTTGAGTTTGTGATTAAGACTCAATTTCTTTATTTGTATTCCAAGTACGAGAAAATCAAATTTGGGTCATATATTAGAAATTTTAAAACATCGTTGTTCATTAAATGGCTTTTAAATAACAGAGTGATTAAACACATCATTTAGGATTTCAATCTCACGAGCATTCCGATTAATCGTTCATGGTCAGCCATGGCGTCTAAGCACCACTTTTGCATGGGGAAAGGAGTTGAATATTTGACACAAACTCTGATTTTCGAGTCCAAATTTGCAACCCAATATTGTAGACCTTAGATATTTCAAAATTTGAATCATGTTTGATCAAATAATCTAATCTTATAATATCAGATGTATACAACATCAGGTTTCAAAGAAATAGAAATTTGAGTTAGTGGCAAAGACTCAATTCCTTTAAAAAGATAACTGAAGAACAACTATTGCACAATAAAATACATTTTAGGAATTATTTGAAGAAAATTGATTACAATACAGAATACTTTACAAATGAATTAAGTCTTTGCAACAACTCTGGTTTTCTAATCTCTATTTCTAATCTCTATTTCTAATCTCTATTTCTAATCTCTATTTCTTTGCAACAACTCTGGTTTTCTAATCTCTATTTCTTTGCAAGCCAATATGACAGATCTTAGATATTTTAAAGCTATAAATTCTGTAAGATAAAATTAAATTTTAAAATATACAATAGTGAAAGAACCAGGTGGCAAAGATTTATGTTTGAATTTGTGACAAAGAAAGATTCAAGTCCTTTTTTTTCAGTGGTTTATATTTTTCAAAAAAATTAGCTCTTTCACATTTTTCTTTAACAAGAAGGCAGGTAATTGACTCTGTAAAGATAAATCTGTAATGATAATAATTTTAAATAAACTTTTATTTAAGCTAAACAGTTCTTAACAAGAACTGTTGTACTTTCTTTAAAATCTGTGGTTGAAGTTGACTAAATAGGTGACAAAAAGTTCAAATTGCTGTGAATGCATTGTATGTCTGAAAGAATGCCCAGGTCAAATTCATTTTAAAGACTTGCATAAGAAGATCAGTGTCTCCTGATATTTGAAACAAAGATTGAGTGAGGCATTTATTTACAATTTGTAAAGTAGGAAGTTTAAAAATCTATCATCTTTAAGATTTTAAAATTTATGTAAGCTCTAGGAATGGTAGGAAAAAATTTTCTAATCTAACATAATTCCTAATTAAAATATCTAACATCTACGACATCAGGTTGAAAATATATAGGGATTTGAACTGATCCTTTGCTTTAGGTATAACGAAAAGGAATTGAGTCTTTGTCACAAATTGATATTTCAAACTTAAAGTTTGAAATTTAAAATGTCTATGACGTTCGGTTGCAAAAATATAGGGAATAAAAAATCAAAGTTTATTGGAAAAACTCAATTCCTTTGTTTTAAATGTTAGGGAATTAAAAATGCCTGAGAAATCTCTAACGTTGTGTTATTCTAAAAAAGTTTTTACAAAATTCTAAATGGATTATATTTCGTTACTGTTGAGGCGAGTGACATACAAGGAAAAACAGACAAGTTCTGCTTTTAACATGTACGTATATAATATGTCATTAAACAGAGTAAAATTCTGTGATTTAGGATTTAAGAGAAGAGAACAACACAAGACAACTTGTCAAACAATTTAGAATAATTTACAGAATTGGCTGAAGTGTCGCCCTGTACTAAAGTAAATGTCACGTAAGATTAAAAATGGATTTAATGATAATTTCTCTCCTTTTCAAGAGCTTTGGAGAAGACAGTATGTTGACCATCTAATATGTAACCGGAGCCTTTGCCACAAACTCTAATTTTCTAATCCTGATATCTTTGCAAACTGATGGTGTTCTTAAACTCTGAATTCTGTTAGATCAAATAAAGTTTAAAATATTAAAGGTTAACAAGATCAGGTTGCACAAATATAGGGATTTAACAATTTGATTTCGTGGCAAGATTGAATTCCTTTTTTCAGACTTAAAATCAAAATTAGAGCAGTTACAATGTCACAAATTTTTACCAGTGTAAGGTCTCAAAACTTTTACCTTCCCTTTTGGACTAGTTTAAAGTGGTCTACATAAAAAAGGGAAATTTACTCAAATTATCTTTGAAAATCTGGGGTAGGTAATACTATCATTATTTGAGAAGAATGAATGTAATTGGTATTTTTCTAAATATTTATATTGGTAGATTGTATTTTTTTTACTCTTAATGATCATGAGCTATTTCATGGCAGAGCCTCACAATGAAGTTATATTGAAATCAAGCTTATCAGCGATCAGTTGATTGTTACCTTATCAAAATCAACGATCAGTTGATTGTTACCTTATCAAAATCAGCGATCAGTTGATTGTTACCTTATCAGAATCAGCGATCAGTTGATTGTTACCTTATCAAAATCAACAATCAGTTGATTGTTACCTTATCAAAATCAGCGATAAGTTGATTGTTACCTTATCAAAATCAGCGATCAGTTGATTTTTACCTTATCAAAATCAGCGATCAGTTGATTGTTACCTTATCAAAATCAGCGATCAGTTGATTGTTACCTTATCAAAATCAACGATCAGTTGATTGTTACCTTATCAAAATCAGCGATCTCAGCAATCTGATCCCAAAGGTTTATCATAACTTCCTTGTTTTTAGCATACCTAAACATTATTGAATTTTTAGACATATTTGACATATTTTATTATATTATCATTATAAAGATTTATTCACACACAAAGATATAAATAATATATAAATGGTGTAGTTTAACTTTGTTTAAATAAATTTTTGAAAATACAGGTTTCCAAAAGAAAAGAGAAAAATATGCAAAATTATGAAATAGACAACATTGATCATTACTCATTACATAACATATTCATCATTTCAGTTATTACGTAATCATCGAATCCTTCAACATATAAATTATTCATTCTTGTATTTAAAAGTTCTTGTAAAACCGGAACTTTCCATGCATGTTCCAATATGGGACATCAAAATATTTCATTGTTTCTTAACTAACATTTTACTAAGATCCGAAGGATTTACAGAAAAAGATTAATAAAACTTTTTAAAAAAATTTAAATAATAATTATTCTTGAAAAATTTCCTGGGCATTTTTTCTGAATTTTTTATTTTTATAAGGTGTCAGTAATTTTACCAAATAAGATAAGTCCTTTAAATATAGATTAATCTAATTGAATAACAAAAAAATTCACAAAATTAAGATAAGAAAATGAGATTTAAAAAGTGAAATGAAAATTAGATTGCTTTCTATGAAAAGTGAGATTCTTTGTCAGAAAGCAGAACTTTGCAAAAATAAATACAATACACATACATACATTCCAGTAAGAAAAAAAATAAAACATATTAAGGAACATTTTAAATTTTTTTAAAATTACTAAATAACATATTTTTTACAAATTATGATAAATCTAGATTTAAGCGTAAAGAACATTCACCAAAAAGTATGTTCGTTTAAGATAATTAATGAAGCTTATAGAGTCTAACACTAAAGAATGAAAAGTTCCGACTTAAATGTTAAGTTTCAGCTTAATTGCCACTTCTGACTTAATTTAAACTTGAATTTTAACCCTAGGGTTAAATATTTAACTCGCCGAAATCGACGCGTTAAAATTTAAACCCAGGGCTAAAATCTTGAAATCAATCTAGCGACATTTATTTAAAAGTAAAAACCTTGATTGAATAAATTTTACGTTTTAAATTAATTAATGTTTGCACGTAAACTTAAAAAACGGTTGTAACTGAAATTTTTTTTGAAATAATTTTGTTTTCCCTTACGTAAATTATTGAAAATAAAAAAAACAGCTGATGAGCGATGGTACGTAATTTCTCTCCGTAAATTCTTTTCTCTGATTCAGGTTCAGATTTTCCCGAGAAGTTCAAATCTCTCTTCAGGTTTTTTTTGAAAAAGTTCAAATTTAAGCAGGAACTCATTATTTTACAATAAAACTTTTAAGCTATAACTTAAATTTCGCGCATTCTTTATGTTAGTCTCTGGAATGTAAATATTTAGAAAATAAACATATGTATATAATATAGAGATGAAAGCAAAATTTGCAGTGTCCAAAACAACCTGCATTGAATTTGCTTGTTTGCTAAAAAGCTTCAGAGAATTGCAAACGAGTCAAAGCACATATTTTCTTTCACTTTGGAATTTCTTACGATAAACTGTCCAATTGATTGTTACAATACACAATTATAGTATAAATGTGCAAAGAGCTTCTCTTGCAGATTTTAGTTATTATATCTTTAATATCCTTGTTTTAAATACAATTATATTCCTTTCTCTGGGATTATGTAGAACTAGAATGCAGGAACCAAATAAATATTATGAAGTATTTGAACTACGTATAGACTTAGTTGAACCAGATCTCCTAAACTTGAATCGCCAGACAAGAAAAGTGGTTCAACTTAATCTACGTAGTTTAACTACTTCTTGCAATTCTTAAAATTTGTTCTAAAACTCCATTCATATTGTACGTATAAATAAATTGTTTCTTACTTTGTAGCATCCCAGGATCCTTTCCCCTCCATAATGGTGTTCTTGACAGCCAAGCATTCAAAATCAGTTTTATCGAGAACACCATTGTTGTCAATGTCGTACATGTACCTGTAATAATCAAGTTGTATATGCCAAAGGTAGGTGATAAAGAGTTATGTACACATTTTACTGTGACGTAAGGACTGCTAGGAACTTGTTTTATAAACACGGTCCCCGGACAAGAAAAAAATTTAAAAAAGATGGTCTAAAATGGTCAATGTCGCGTCATACAGGGATTTCATGTGAAGCTAACCCAAGAGAAAAGAAGATCAAAAAATATCTTTTTTCACTTTGTATTGTCGTACAGTCCAGTCTGGACTACCAGTGGAGAGTCGACCCATCAAGTTTTATGCAACAAACGTAGTAACAGTGATTTGGGTGACAAGTTCCAGTTGATTTTTGGTAGACATTTGTAATTCATATGTATTGAGTCTTTGCTACAAAATGAATTTTAATCCTTTCTTTTTGCAACTTGAGGCTGGAACTCAACTAAACCTGCAACCTGAAACTTGTGATATTTCCAATTATTAAATGTAACAGAATTCACAGTTTGAAATATCTAAGGTTAACGACATTGGGTTGCAAAATTATATGGACTAGTTTGTGGCAAATATATTTTGGACACATGCTAGTTTATGACAATTGTTCCAAGAAATATTGTTGTTGTCAATTGAAGTAAGAAGTGAATATTCAGTGGAACTAGAACTCCAAAAATCTATAATTTGTATTTATTTACCTGACTAAAAACTTTACCCTATTTGTCCAGGAGTTCGCCATCTGAAAAAATTCTTTTAAAGGGAGTGTTATCTAAAAAGTAAAGGGCCGTATAGGCTAAAACTGAAATAAATTTGGAATTGAATGGATCAATCTGTTTCCATGAGAACATTGTAAAAAACGTGCGTCGCCTACAGCGCAGAATCCACGGAGAGATCCCTGATCAAGGGCGTATACAGAAATAAATGTAGGGGGGGGCAAGATTTGCGCGAAGCGCAAAAATTTTTTTTGCCCCCCCCTAGGAGCTCCTAGGGGGGGGCAAAATTCGAACTATAAATTCATAACACTTGGCTTCTTGGATAATCCCTGATTTCGCATCTCGTAGTTAAAACATAATTCATTTATTTAATTTAGAACTGATCGTTTACTTTTCAAATGAAATTATTTCAAACTGGATTTGGGTAACTTGTATTTATTTTATTTTCATATAAATCTGTGAATTTCTACGTCACTCGCGAATAGAATTTCGAGCAAATACCACTTGGATTCTTTGCGCCGCGCTGTAAGCAACAAATGTTTTTACAATTTTCTTAAAACTCAACCAGATAAAAAAGGTTGATAACATTCGACTTAATATTCAATTTGATGTTTTAGCATAAACCATAAACATATTTTCATAAACACTCTCTTTAATGATAAAACTAAAATGATTAAGAAAATGTTTAAATTTTAAAATAGTTTAACCTTGAATAAGATAAATGATATCCGGAGTGGAGCAGTGATCCTTCAAGAATGGGCGAGTTGACCTCACTGCGCTACTTTATATACACTGACCGGACACAGGTAAACAGGTAAATACAGATAGATAGATATATATCTATACATATATACACACATAAACATAAACAGCCAGCATACCTTGATATTTAATTAGACAAGGAAAACGGTAAATTTAGGTGAAGAAAAGTAGTCACTGGACAGATACAGATATAAACATTTAGACCAATATAGACATTTTTGTCCAATGTCTATTTGGCATTTAATGATAATTAGACATAAAGAGAACCATGTTTAAAGGTAGAATTAGATTACACAGGAAGGGGGCGCGGTGAGAAACTAAAGAGAAGAATTGAGGTAAGGTGGTCAGGTAGACAGGTAGACTTGACAGCAGGTGTTCAGGTAGACAGGTAGACTTGAAGGCAGGTGTTCAGGCAGACATTTAGTATTGACGGCAGTTGTTTCAGTATACAGGCAGACTTGAAGGAAGGTATTCAGGTAGACGGATAGACTTGAAGGCAGGTGTTCAGGTATACTGGTAGACTTGATGACAGGTGCTCAGGTAGACAGATAGACTTGATAACAGGTGTTCAGGTAGACAGATAGACTTTATGACAGGTGTTCAGGTATACTGGTAGACTTGAAGGCAGGTGTTCAGGCAGACATTTAGGATTGACGGCAGTTGTTCCAGTATACAGGAAGACTTGAAGGAAGGAATTCAGGTAGACGGATAGACTTGAAGGCAGGTGTTCAGGTATAATGGTAGACTTGATGACAGGTGCTCAGGTAGACAGATAGACTTGATAACAGGTGTTCAGGTAGACAGATAGACTTTATGACAGGTGTTCAGGTATACTGATAGACTTGAAGGCAGGTGTTCAGGCAGACATTTAGGATTGACGGCAGTTGTTCCAGTATACAGGAAGACTTGAAGGAAGGAATTCAGGTAGACGGATAGACTTGAAGGCAGGTGTTCAGGTATAATGGTAGACTTGATGACAGGTGCTCAGGTAGACAGATAGACTTGATAACAGGTGTTCAGGTAGACAGATAGACTTTATGACAGGTGTTCAGGTATACTGATAGACTTGAAGGCAGGTGTTCAGGCAGACATTTAGGATTGACGGCAGTTGTTCCAGTATACAGGAAGACTTGAAGGAAGGAATTCAGGTAGACGGATAGACTTGAAGGCAGGTGTTCAGGTATAATGGTAGACTTGATGACAGGTGCTCAGGTAGACAGATAGACTTGATAACAGGTGTTCAGGTAGACAGATAGACTTTATGACAGGTGTTCAGGTATACTGATAGACTTGAAGGCAGGTGTTCAGGCAGACATTTAGGATTGACGGCAGTTGTTCCAGTATACAGGAAGACTTGAANCATGAACTGTCGTAAAAATTTAAAATAATAATAATTTTAAATTAGTGGCATCTTAGAAATTTAATTAATAAATAATTGTTCCATATCGTGATATTTCAGTGTTTATTCAACAACCTTCAAGATTTTTCCGATTGCAATAGTAGTTCCTAAAAATATTTATAATAAAAATAACGATGATAATAGTGATGATAATAATAATAATATTATCTATAATAAGAATGATAACAATGCAGTAAGAACAATATTGATAATAATAATTTTAATCAATCTTGTTTATCTTTTAATTTTTAGTATGGTAAAAGATCGAAATAAATAAAATGTGGAACAATACTATAAATTTCATCGTCTCCAATGCCATTTCATTAATTTACCCATGACACTCGACATTGAAAAGTGAGAACGGGGAAAAGCAAAAGAAAGAATTTTTAATGTTTTTGTTGAAGCGGAATTTTCTTCAAATTTGTTTAATTACAGAAAGGTAACCTGTAACATTTCAGAAATATGCGTTAGTTTAGAAATGAGTAAAATTGTTGAGAATATAGGGAAAATCTGCAATTCAACAAAAAAACATCAATTGTCCAAATCAAGAATGTGTGAAATAAACAGGACCTGTATTAAAAAAGTGCAGACTGGTTTGCAATGGCATGGGCAACACCGCTCAAACTGAAAGTTTAGGTACAAAGGCTGTATGTACTTATACTTTATATTTATATTTAATTGTTACAGAAAAGTTGTCAAAGATTTAGTTGTATAGTAAAATTATTTTACAGTAAAATATATGAGTTAAACATTTTTTAAAGAAATAAACTGCAAAAAGTCGTGAATATCTAATACAGTATGTGGCAGAAGACATTAAAAACTTTTCACCAACTGTCATGTTTCGTGGGACATCCTGTAGGAGATGTTAAGTGAAATCAAATTTTAGAAACATTTAATTTCAAGCACTTTTTGGTCTGAAGTAATCCAGGTTTCCAATTTTGCACTTTTGAAACGAATGCTCCCTTAAACCTCTCTAGCTTAGAAAGACCCCCCCCCCCTCATCTTTTTCCTTATCGTGATACATTTCGTACATGTTTGGAGAAATTATAAAATAACGTGCCAAAAAAAGTATAACTGTTATAACCTAAATAGTAATTACAAAAACCAGGTAGTTTGCAAAAAAAGTGGGCAAAGAAACAATTTGTGCAAAATATTAAAATAAATTTTTTTTTTAATTTTTTAAAAGCCATCTAGCCCAAAGGATTTAGGCAGTTTGGAGGCTATATTTAAGAAAGTGCATTGTATGGTCTTAAGTGGAAGGATTTGATGGTCAACAAAGTAAAATATTTTAACAGCCTCAGACCAATACTTTATAAGTAGACCGCCCCCCCCCCGCTAGGGCAGAGCAAAGTTCTGTTAAAGGGAGTGACCGGCTATGTAAAGTATTGGAACTGAGTATGCAGTGTTGTGGAAAACTTCTTTCGGATTCATTTGAAACATATTAATCAATAAATAAATAAATAAAGATCTGTAAATCCTGAGTTTGAGAGCAAACTCGACGTTCAAAACTCCTACTTTGGGGGTGGATACGTTTTCAGACTTAGTTTTTTTTTAATTATTAAATAACGACGACATAAAATGTTAAAAAGTTCTACAAAAAACTACAGAGGTAATGCATAGGAACATGTTGAGAAAATATTAATTAAACTTATCATCGAAAATAAGTAATCTTGTTCAATTATTAGTTCCTAAAAACGGTATATGCCGATAACATACCGAATGTTCCATTCTTACCTTTAAACTGAACAGCTACCTGAAATTTTTTCTTTTTTAACGTTCAACCTACATGAAGGAATAGATTTAAAAAGTAAAATATTGAAATATTAATCTAAAATGTTAAACCCTAGCCTGGTTGGGAAGGGGTGGTCCCCCCCCCCTTAAACTTAAAAAACTTTTAAATCTATATCAAGTATAACTAAGAAATAATTTTGCGAGGAAGCTTGCAAAATGGCAAAATGTCTGTTTGTATTGATATTCCCATTTGCTAATTCCTTGTATCTTTTGCCACCCAGTCCAATGTCATTGATATTTCAAACATTAAATAAAGATTGATTTTCAATAGTCAAAGTTCAAAGTTAAAAAATGTCATCAGGTTGAACAAATATTTGTACTAGAAAATTTGAGTTTGGTGCAAAAACTCAGTTCCTTTAAAAATATTGTTCACAACAATGCAACTCTTAAATAAGGCAGTCCTGTTTTAGATTCTTCTATGGTATTCATTCCTACACAGATTTCTCAATCTAAAATATTAGAGCTTGAAAATTCATCAGTTGTGTTTTAGACCTTGAAGCGCTCACATCTAGAGACAAGCGTTCATAGCCTGGGCAAAAGGGGGAAAATGGAACCTTTACCCTACCTCCTAAAGCCCCTGAAATCAAGTACCTCATTCTAAGTATTTTCTGTAAAAACGGAATTCCCTTAATATAACTCAATTATTATAGCTTCGATTTGCCTACCATCAACATTTTTTTCTAAATATTTAATCACAAACTCCCATTNTCCGCGGCAAGCTGAAGATGTTGGACCGAGGATAATGTTATTATAAAGTTTCAAGACATTGTTTTCTTTTACACCCGACATTGTTCGTACAGTACATTTCACACAATTCAGATACTTTTCTGTAAAACCAGTTTTCTTTGGACAACCTGTATTGTGTATTCTAAAGTACTGACTGAGCTAAATAAAACCTGCCTCTTATCGATCAGTTCAGAAGTCAAATGAATAAATTATATCCAAAGCAGTTGGCCTCAAGGTTTTCTTTTTTATGGACACTAAATATGCACTGATCACTTAAAAAAAAAATTTCTACATCTATTTTTTTTTTGTGGGGGGGGACTTTGAAAATTCAAAGCTTTTTTACTTTTTCGAAATTTAGTGATCACGATAAAGATATAAAAATTCAAATTTGAACAAAATTTTCTGTTGGTAGGAAATAATTTGTTTTTAAATTAGCGACTGTTAAACTATATTTTCTGAATAACTTTCTTGAGGGTAAAAATGTGCCAACTACTGAGGATGTTTCTGAGTGGGATGTTTCATCCTACTCTTGTATCCCCAGCCAGTAATATAAGAATTTTACCTCCTAAAATTATGATTCGAATTCTACATGAACAGGTTTTAATTGCCTGCAGGTAGTGCTGGTTTCACAGTAGTAATTATTTAAACTGGGTGTCCGAAAATACTGAAACATGTAATTGAAAAAAAGAAATTTTGCGAAAATCAATGAGAAAAACTTTTTGACATAAAGATCACATTATTTTCTGTTTTAAAATAACTAATTTTAAGCTACGGTGACGGTTATTATATCAAAATAATAAAGACGACTTTTTATTTAAGTTATAATTGTTAACAAGCTTTCTTCGAATTGCAGAATGACACCATCTCTTTCTATCTATGTTGTATATATGTTGTTTTAAAGATTGGTATAAATCAAAACTGAAATCGGAAGTCGTCTTCATTATATTGATACCAGCGTATGTTGATTACAGATCTCATTTGTACCTTAATCTAATACCTACACCTATAAATAATAAAATAAACAATTTCTCAAACATATTGAAAAAGGAAAAGTATGTCCTAAAATATGAAAATTTTGAAACAGAACGGTGGCAACATTGATTGATGAACAATTAGCAAA